ACAATAAAATGTGGTCATTTGAATTCAATTACCAGGCAAACAGGAATAGTAAGAAGTCTCCGGTTGCTCGGAATTACATTGCAGGAAGGTTTTATGCAGTTTTCTTATTTGCACGGCTGGTTTAGTTCCACCGCACAATTGCTTTAAAGGCTTCAAGCATCGACTTACATAGCATCTTTAGAACATTTCTATCATTATTTTTAAATAATAAAGTTTAAGCAAATAAATTCTACTATCGAAATATACTCTTGTATCTGTTAGAGCTTGTCTTTGGTTTTTACCGATTTGTCTACTTTTTCTTTAGGTGACAGACTTTTTTTTTGTCGAGATAAATTATTTTCACCAATACTTTATCATAAGGCATTAGATAAATAAGCGTTAGCTGCTTTTATGCTGGTGCTGTTACACAAGTTGCCTTCACAGAGTCAATGAATAGAGGCGACATCTGCTGCTAAAAGCAACCGCCATTTGCTGTATTGGTTTTATAGCCCTTTTTAATAATACCGATAACGGTGTAGTTCTAAACTAGTTTAGTTTTAAATTATACCTTTTTTTTTAAATAAGATTCATGAATGGATACATGTAATAAAATTGGAGTGTCTGTTTGAAATATCAAAGGAAAAAAATCCAGATTTCGGTAAGATGATGTATTTGCTTTGCTGATAACGAAAATCGCATTGAAAATTTTTTGTCTGTCTGTCCGCAAACCGCGTTTGTTCCGGACTTACACTGGAAGGTAGTAGACATAGACGGGCATATTATAGGCTACTTTTTTAATTACGCGTTGACAAAATGGCTTAACGGGTGGTCCAAAGCGCTAACAAAGTTTGCGGGCGACAGCTCGTTTAAAATAAGAATCATAAATCGAAAATACAATTTTAAAATTGCAACAAATCTTTTTTCTCATATATTTTTTTACCAGAGCCGCAGAAAATGTTCCGTTCCCTTTACAGTGCGCCAGGAATACGTAATGCAATATTGGTATTCATGAGATAGTTACCAGGACAGCAGAGCAGGCGCAGCGCCCAGATAACGTTTTCAAATCTGCCACGTTTTATATTTGCGCACCCGAAATAAAATATCTCCACTAACGGATTTAAAATATCGCAATGCACACTTATAGAAATTCAATTTAAGTTGAAATGTATTTGTTTTTATGTAAGACGAGCTTTCGCCCGCGACTCCGTTCGCGTGGAATTAAAAAAAACAAAAGTGAGTAATCTATGTGTTCATCCAGACTATTCTTTACATCTATGCCAAATTTCATCGAGATCCGTTCAGCCGTTTGGGCTGCAAACGTCCATCTATCCATACTCGTACATCCATCCATCCATTCATATAAACTTTCGCATTTATAATATTAGTAAGAAGTAAGATTGTTAACAAATCACTATAGTAATAAAAAATTTAACGATAAATGCAATTTATAACGAAATTACAAAATTGTCTATATATGAAAACTTTTCAGAAAGCCCTATGGAATTTCGATATAGCAAATTCAACGCAAAACTAGAATCTTTATCCAGCGCTCACGTTTCTAAATACGATTTGCTTTCGGTCAAACCGATATTTTCAAGACATGTTACAAAATAATTTAATTCATACTTGCTAAAGATGTTTATCTAAGAAATATTTTGCCGTTCTGAAAACTGATGAAAATATTTGCTAATTTATAAGCTGCGAGGTCGAGCATTGACCGAGTGTGACACTTTAACCGGACAAAAGGTCACCCGTAGCGAAACTTAAATGCTACTTAATAATTCCCTTAATTAATTTGTCAAAGACAAAAACAAATGATTGTTGTCTTCACTTTTAGTACTAAAGATATAAACATTTAAATATTGTATTTTTTTTATTGTCTTTTATTAAATACGTTTAAGAGATTTCACGGTTTTGATTTTATTAGTATTTTGACAGTTATTTTAAAGACGAACGTAATTTAATATTAATTCTTATGAAGAGTTTTTGAAAACTTGTAAAATATACATTTTCTAATGTTTTAACAAATGTATTTAGTTTCCTAAGCTTGTAGTTTTTGTACCTGGGGGCTGACGTTGATGGGCTATGTACAATACTTTACAGCTTATTTGTTCGTGCGCCCCTAACTATAGGGGCTCCCAGCATCCCTTGCAAAAAGTCTCTCAGTCTATTATGGATTCCTGGTACTTTTATTGCATAATTTGGACTGATCCCCACATCATCGGTTTTTATTGGTAAGGCCCATATAAAAAAAAATCCACATTGAACTAATATAAAAAAAAAAAAATTAGAAAAAAAATTAATACTTTCACACAGTAAAATATTGGATATTTACCTTGTGTTCTATTTTTTAATAAACGCCCCGATAAGCAAAGGCTTATAATATTAAATTCCGCTTTTCTCTGTAGTCTATCGACAGACTTTGTGCTGGCAACGATTATTAAAAGTTGAAAATAACTTAAACATTCCCTATTGCTCTAGGTACAGGATGTTCTAGTTCCTGTTGCAGAAAAGAAGTCGAAATTCTCTTATATTTTGTGTTATTTTTTACATGTTCTAAAAATATTCTTTTACAACGTAACCATTTGTATTACAACCATTTGAAACAAGCAGTTCCTTTCACAGTACTGACAGTTGCCATTTATCGAACACGTCAAATATTTAGCAACCCCTTTTCAGTTCGCACAAGACGGGCTGCCTGCCCTTTCATCACGGCCCATTCACTCCGCCCCTAACCGCAGGAGAGCCCCAGCTTCCCTTATTGCAAATTTACACCATGAGCCTATGCGGCCCTGGTACTATTATTGCAAATTCATAGATGCTTAGATATTTGCAATCTTTTTTTAAAAACAAAAAATGGTTTTGCAATCTTTTAACACCCTTCCTTCGATTCTTAATGTAATTTTGTTTTGGTATTTTTATCATATTGAAATTTTTTCCACGGTTTATCTTTCTAATAAACGTGATGTATCAATCTAATCCTGATACTAGGATAGCATAAGTTTATAGGGAGTAGATTTAGTGATCATGGCTATCGACCCCTCTTGGATGTTAAAAAGGGTCGGTGACAAGTGTTACAACAGGGTTGATTCTTTTGTGGCAAGTCAAATTCTATTACACGATAGTCAAAGAGAATATTTACTGTTTTGATTTAAGGGCCAATTGCACAACGAACAATAATTTTTGAAAACTGTAATAAATCAGCTAAAGAGATATTTATTCAATCCAGTTGAGACAAACAATACATGTCAATACACTCATGACGGTGGAATTTCAGTTTATTAATTGGTTATTGTTTTACAATGTAGACTCAAAGAGCAAATGTTAGGTGTACACCACGCGATCACAGAGGCACGTGTCTGCTCGCGATTTTACGGCCGCTTTGTGTCGACGCGCGTAACTAATGTGCGTGTGAACACGCCTCATCGCACTCCCACCGAATACCACTATGTCTCTATGTTTTATTTCGGTTAAATGTATTTTATTTGGTTACGGCGCATTTACATACTTTCTATGTGACTTACAAATTACAAATTGCTTTTTTTTACTATTTCTGCAACATTGTTATATAGTCTATTGTTGTCTAGTGGTAACAAGACTTCTCTTCGCATTCCTGCGAGCCTAGTACATCGCGACTCTACAAAATGGCGCGCATTCTCCTGGTAATGCCCATTTTCCATCGCCCGCGCCCACTCGGGTTAACCGTGTAATTTGTCGCATTTTATATAAGAGTCTTCTCAACGAACCATCTCATTTCAAGTTAATAAAAAGGCAAGAGAGTATTTTAATTTAAAACATTTTGTTGACACGGACGCAATTCAATTTGTGGAAGTTAAGTGGTAGACAAATTTCATTTTCTTTATATTTCGATGTTTGAGTTTTAAAAATGTAAAGTTTCATTCACTGATCAAATTGGATTTTTAACGACGCAATTTATGAATGTTAAATTTTCGCTTTTGTTTGTTGCCTAAGAACAAGCGTAACGAAGTACTAGGCGTCCATAAACTGTTAAAGGCTCACCGATACGCCTATTAAATGCCATTAATCAGGCAATCTAATAAACCTGGCGCGACTGCCCCACAGTCCGGGTATAATCGCATTTACAAGTGCCGACGTTCGGCGCATGGGGATATAAACTATATATCTTCGTTTAAAATCTTTATTTTGCTCTAACAGTACTCATTAATTTAACCGTTCTTTCCACTATCACAAAAAGGACAAGTCTAAATGCTCGCATTGCTTATTTTTCAACCCCTGTTTCGTCTACCACCTTCCAGTTTCTAATTTCCTAGTACACTTATACCATAGGGGTGTAAAAGCTTATTGTACTCATAGAAAATAACAAGGGGTTCGCAGTAACCCATGGTGAACGTTGCATTGACGAAAGAGATAGCAGCTCTTGCCCTTTCTGTCTTATCGAACGGCTTCGACTTTCAGAGTTGGTTTTGTTTATTATACCGATATGTGTATGAAGAAATAATAATTATTTCTTAACTCTGTTAGCCGATCTGTTAAAAGTTCAATTGGTCAATTTTAATTGAATATGCGTCAAAACAAAAGAAAAAAATCTTAAATTATTTTATTTTTGTTTGTTGTTTTCTCAATCGAGAAAAATCGTTCCAATATTTGGTTTTGTCGCCGCACTGTATCAATTTGATTGGAATAATAAAGAAAAAAGAAATAATCAAGGCTATTGTATTGCAGTACAATAGGCTCGAGTACCAGGGGCGCAGGAGCCACAGAGAGATTGACCGATCGGGCAAATTGAATGTCCGTCGAACACGACGTCTACAGGGATAGCCTGCTATTGTGTAGACGCCTATTCAAGACACTGGCAATATTTCACTTTGTAAAAGGTTCTTTTTAGAATAAAGAAATATCGTCTTGTGGTAATTTGAAGTTTAAGAAAACTGTTAATTAACGTTTTTTGTAAAGACTAAAGTTTTTATCATTTCGTGAATTACCCGATTCATACTATCTCTAAGTAGATATATAAAATTTTATTGCATGTTTTGTTGCAGCTGGTTGGTGGAGAGTTCGACATGGAGCTGAACTTCGTGATCCAGGATGCGCAGAACATCCAGCACATGCTAGAACTTCTGGACCACTGCCCGCCCAGCTTGCAGGTCAGTCACCACTCTCTTTAGTGTTTACTTAGTATTCCTGTAGGTTTCCAACTTGGGGTTAACAAACAAAAGACGATTTTAGCACTTGTACTGCTTTTTATTTAATGTTTTAGCAAAATAGGACTGCAACTAAAATCGTGTGACGAAATTATTGCGCGATTTAACTGTACATCGAGTAACAACACATAGACGTATTTACTTGTGTTGTCTTTGTTTAAATTTATGTATTAATCAAATCTCTTATAGTCGTATTTCACATACGGATTGCAAATTAATTAATCATTGCTACGTACAGAGCACAAAAAGGGGTAAAGCGGAGATAATCCGCGCTCCTAAGCGGCCCGCCTTTGTGAACATTCATTAAATTTTTTACAATTTTATGCCCTCCCTCTGTATATGTGCTATTTTATTTAACAACGTTAGCTAGCTTTTATTTTTTTAATGAAATTAAAGTTTTCGGTGTGGTAATGGCCTTTTAAATTATTAACAACTAGCTGTTGCCCACGACTTCGTCCGCGTGGTATTAGAAAACAGACGAACTATGTAAATAACGTCACCCTCGGGAACTGGACGTTTTTCGGAGATGAACCTTATCCCTTGTGTACTCCAGACTTTGTTTTATATCTGGACCAAATTTCAATAAGATATGTTGAACCGTTGCAGAATTATCGAGTAAACATCAAAATACGAAATTAATGCATCCCACGGGAACCGTAACTATTTCCGGGATAAAAAGTAACCTATGTGTTCTTCCAGACTATCCTCTACATCTGTACCAAATTCCATCAAAATCTGTTCAGCCGTTTAGGCTACAAACTCTAACAAACATCCATCTAAACTTTCGCATTTATAATATTAGTAAGATTAGTAAGAAGTAAGATTTTTTTACACAACTGTAATTGGTTACCAAAAACAATTTAAGTAAATGTTCGATCTTGAATGCGGGCCAACAAAGCTATCCTGTACAAACAATAGTAACTTTACCGCCCATAAACTGTGGCTTCATCAAAACTTTACACATAAACCGGCCCCCACAAATACTCGAACGGCCATGATTTATGCCCTTCATTTTGCTTTTTTACCTTTTACGCCACCAATGGCTGTCTCCCACGTCGTTCGTCTCTTTCTATTTTAGTTTTCTTTAGTCATATCGGTATGTCAAAAAGGGATAGTGGTATATCCTTAGGATGGGGCTTTTTTGTTGTTAATAAATGCTCTCCTATAGTGGTATGTTATCCTGGTACCAAAGTAGAACAAATTAACCCCTTTAACTAAACGAAACTTAATTTTGCATTTAAATATTGCAATTTCATATACATTGTGTTAAAATTTAATACATTTTCAAACGGAATTTTATAAAGTCTATTTAAAAACGTTGACAACCAACAAGCAAAAAGGTCTTTCGAAGTTTAAATTTATGGCTTGGTAAGGTGCACCTTCTTGCACTTATGCTACCCTAGTAATCTTGATATTTAAATAAAGGGTTAGAGTTCTTAACCATGAAAATAAGTTGCGAAGTTAATTGTGGGTTTCCATTGTCGAAATACTTGTTAAAAACATGTTTCCTTCTCTACAATTTCTCATATAAAAGACAGAGATAAATATATACTAATGAAAGTTTTCAGTACAAAAGTTATGTTACTAATATGAAATGAAGAGAATATTAAAATACCAAATCCAGTAGCTGACTGTATTAATTTTGCAATACAGTTCCGACACGTATTATTGTAAAGGAATTTCGGAAGCGCTTTAACTTGAAATTGGTTAGAAGTGACGTCAGCCACGTTCTGCAAACTGCTGCGACGTGATTCTCTCACACGCTGCAATTTGCTGCACGCTGTATTAAATCCTACGTAACAATGAATGTGGTTACTAAAGAGATTTTATAAGCAAATCGCTATGAAATAAAGGCTTTAGTTACATTGTAATTGTATTGTATACTAGCTGTCGAACGCGATTCCGTCGGCGCGTATTTAAACAAAAAAAAACTTATTTAGTAGCTTACGTGCTCTTTCAGACTATGTTCTACATGAATAAGATCCGTTTAGTCGTTCTAGAATTACGTAAAAACAAACATACATACATCTAAACTTATATTTGTATTACTAAGATTACTCTGTCCTTAATTCAGTTTAAGTCTAGTATATTCATAAAGATCCCTAAATAAGACGGCTTTAATATTTAATATTAAAATTATTTGTGTCTAAAGATTAATTTATTCCCTGTCTTAAAGCTAAGAGTATTTCAATTCTCTTTAGTAGCGACAGAATTCTACATTTATTAATGCAAAGTATTGTAAAGCTTGAAATACAAAGTTTGTATAGAAAACTTTGGATTGTAATTTATATTGACGCTTAATTTCTTTTACTTGGTCAATTGTATTAAGGTGACAAACGAGAAAGCAGACACCTGTATTTGCCCCATAGCGAAAATACCACTACCTACCTCTATGGACGGAGGATGTAGACCTCAGTCTAATTCACTTCCCTTCCGAGAATAAGGTGGGAAGAGAAAGAGACTAAAGGCGTAGCACGCCCACTCATCATACGAAACGAAGAATTGCTTTCACTTTACGTCTATCTTCTGTGTGGTCATTCAAACTAGATATTGTTTTTACTAACGTCAGCAAGTAGTTAAATTTCAGTTCAAACAGAATCATTATTTTATTCGTCTAAAACTTTGTAAATGTTTCCCTTCTCCAACTCGAACATTCTTCAGTACTTTAGTAAATAATTTAAAACAAAGCACCCTGCCTTAAAATACAATTTTCCTGAACACTTTGTTATAGCGGCGCCCTCTGTGCTTTACTTAGCATTTGTCGAGTGAAATGTACACCTGCTACAATTTACCTGTAAGTTTAACATCAGCGCGTAAGTTATATACTTTAATATGTAAGAAAGTCAAGGGTGCTAAGGGAAGTATATTAAAAATGAAATACGATTCGTGACAGAGTCAAAAAAACAGCATAGAGTTTGAAAGAGAAAGTAGAAGAAGAAATTCGAGTTTACTTGAAACGGAAAACGGCAAATTATTTCTCCTTACAATATCATTTAGAATTTTATATAAGAGTTGTAAGACAATGGTTTCTAAGTAATGTAGTGCTTTATTAAAGTTAAGACTTAAGTTCTTAAGTTTGCGAAGCATTTCTTTATATAATATAAGGTGGCAAACGAGCAACTGGCCTGAATCTGAAATGGAAAGCGACCGCTGCCCATCAACATTAGCAATTGCAGATGCATTGCCTACCCTTAATTGACGGAGGAGGAAACGCGTAATGTATAATAAACATAAAAAATCCGATTCATAAAATAAGTAATCAACGATCAAAACGTTAGATAAACACGGCAGATTCTGTCACGCCGCGCAACGTGTTAAACTCCCGCGTGACAGCGTGACAGACGTGCTGCATCACACCGCGCGACGTGTTAATCGCCGGCGTGATAGCGTGACAGACGAGATGCGAAGTGCTGCGTCACTCGTGTTAGCACTCGATGGATCTGTTAGGATCGGCTTTTGCTACGCCATTAGGGAAATTGGAATTTTGCATAGCAATCCTTTTCGATTTCTCGTAAAAAAAAATTTGCTAATTGTTTTTTGCAGTGATCAAAATGATTTTAGTTTTCTAATCGTAATTCTCTTTTTGGGCACATTCTGTAGCTTGCTACTTTACTCTATTTTATAGATTAAAATATTTAAGAAAAATAGAGTAAAACTAGCAAGGTTCTCCTAAAAATAAGCCAAACAAATTCTGCAAAACTGACTTAAGAACAACTTTGCCGTGATGTTGGAATAAATACGAAAGTAAGTTTATATCCTTGCAGAAACTTTTCATGTTTTATGTATATTTAAGAACTTGGTTCTTCAAGCGTGATCTCGAGTTTTTCTTACTTTTACTCGAAATTTATTATTTCACTTTTCTTGATTTTCACTCGTATACTAAAAGTTTGTTTTAAGAAAAATCCAATGGTAAAGAAAATCTCGCAATCACATTGCAGTAACAGCGCTGCGAAATAAAAGATTTCATCTGACATTCCCTCGGAGCCCACCGCGTAGATTGTCTTGAATTCTGACCCCGCGGCAATTTCGCCGAGATTGTTCCGCTAACAACAACAATGTAATTGCACTCTTTCTTGTTAGCTTACAGAAATGTTACAGCAAAGCTTATGTGATCCTGGTATTTCTTGATTAGAACCTCGCTGTTATCCTGGTAATACTCTCATTAATATGTAATTTATTTTAATGCACTAATTAAGTAAAATTATGTAATTACTATAGGCACATATTAAAATGATAATTTTAGTAAATGTAGTTAGTTACGCAGTGATGCGTTAAATTAACTCAAACGAGTAGTGTAATTAGCACTTCTGCCTGTCCATACACGCTTCAATTATTACTCCATTTATGTATGTATGTTAAAATGAATCGTATGTAAATGTTGAATTTAAAATACAAATGAATTAATTAAATAATTTGAAGTAAAAAAATGATGACATTTTCGATGAGAATTCTATTCAAAAGTATTCGATCTTTTTGACATTTTATTCAAGTATACTAATTAAAATTTTCTGTAAGAAACTGCTTGTTTTGTGTAGAATTGTATGCGATAAAAGATGTCTTCATTAAGCCTATCTGAGAGAACGCAACTTGTATGTCGCACTAACCCGGCTTATGTTGAAGTGGCACTACTTTACGGTAACATAAGTTCTTACATATGACTCTTTTATGAAGTACTATGTTGCATACTGATTTAATTAGGTACACAGAAATACACTATGTACATCATTTTCAACCTGCACTCGGATTATTCCCAACCGTCACCCCGCTCTGTCCCCACGTGGGAACAGGTGAGAATGAAAAGTTTCATACGTCCCACCTTTTGCACGAGGGGACGGTTGGAACTAGTTTTATTGCATAACGGTTCAATCTGTTACCTTATTGGTGATAGTGGGACTAAAAGGTGGGACGGATGAAACTTTTTATTCTCACGTATAAACGATTAACGTAATATATACGACATTGAAGTGATCTTGTACTGTAACAAAATTGATGTGTCACGTTGTCCGTGAACCCGTGATGGACGACTGCCGACGTGACACAGTATCCCGCGGGACGTGATTAGTGTCACCCCGACATTTCGTAGATAGGAATGGCTTATAAGTGTCAACTATTATTACTTAAGTAATGGAATTATAATACTTTACTTTGTAAAGCACGCCACACACGTTCAGTTAGAACTGTGCAGTTTAACTGACAGTAAAATTTTTGCTACGCACGTGGCATCTATGTCATATCTATACATTTATTATAGAAGAAACGCAATAAACGGTTAGAAAAAATGAAAATCGCCACGAGACGTCTGAAGTGAAGGGGAGATGTCTGTTGCCATCAGAGTGATAAAAAATTCGCCTTGGAAACTTTCCTTCTGTAATTTCACAAACTTTCCAACGTCCAGACATACTTTACGTCAAATGGTAAAACGTAACTTTAACTTTTAACATAAATTTGGACGATATAAAAGAACTTAATCTATCTGAAATACTTGCCTTTTTAAAAATAATTTACAACTGTTTTGTTATTCTGTCATGCGCCCGTAAAAATGCATTCGGTCCCTACATTTGCCACATGTTTATGCTGTCTCTTTCTCTCTCAGGCATTAATACACCACCCTTTGCACTTTTCTAACATTCCATAACTTCTTGCACACGGCTGCTTGCCTAGTACGTGTGTGAACATAATGCATACCGTGCGAATTTGAATGACGTGCGTCTGCCGTACCACACACAAAAAATGCGTCTTTTTTTCTTTTCTTTGCATAAATCTGTTAAAAATGTTATAGTACTCTCTGTGTAGTGTTATAGTTGAAAAATGTTATAGAACTCGTAGTACTTACTAGTAACTGTCATAAAAACCATGGTGTTGCCCTTTTTGTCAGCATGCTCAAACCCAAACATGCAGTATGAACTACTTACGTGTTATGATGCCCTAGTACTTGTGTGAATATTAAGAAAGATAATTTTCTTAAGACGCTTTTTTTATTTCCCGCCAAAAGAATCCTTCGCTGTTCAATAGGCATTTTTTTTCTTTTAAAGCGCGGGAAGAAACCACAACAGTCTTGTTTGGCGAATGAAACATCCACGAAGAAAAGAATTTAATTTAAATCCAGAGCATTAGGTTTGTGCGGTATTAAATGGAATACTGTGCAAATGGAAGTATCCGCTGAATACGGGGGAATGCGGATGTTCGCAGCGCGGTTGTGCGGATGTGCGTCCTTTCAATACGCAGCCGGCGCAAATGAGCCTCGTGCTATTTATTTTTCATTCGAATGAAATTCCATGTAATAGCTCTCTACCTCTTTGATGTTAATGTTTAATGAATTTTTTAATTAGTACACAATTTTGTACTGAGTTTTTTTTTAATTAAAACTTTATGATATGTCCTCTTGATGAAATTCAACCACGTCAAAATTATTAATAACATAAATTGAAAACTTTTTAGGTTTTTATTACTTTAGTTTTAATGAGATTAATCTTGTTGTCAGGCGGAGATCTGGTCGGTGTTCATCGCAATCCTGCGCAAAAGCGTGCGCAACCTGCAGGCGTGTACAGACGTCGGCCTCATACATCACGTGCTGCAGAGGCTGCCCCGAGCGGAGACAGTTGTCGCTGGTTAGTATGTGCATTCGTTACGTAAAAGTGCTGTCCGCCTGGTTCATGAAAATAGAAAATTATCTCACCATACAAGACATGAAGACCTGGTACATTCCTTTAGATATTGCTGAGATTTCAATTGTTCTGAAGTCTTAGTACCTTACGTAGAACAATCTAATGTAAATTCATTTTTAGGAAAGAAAGGGACAACAATAATATTTTCTGTCTTTTCATTTCCTTAAGGCGTATTAAAAATCTCCTCGCTTGTCTCTGGACACCTCTATATTATTCCTGGAGCCTTAGTATCCATGAGAAATATTAACCCTTTATTTTCCAAGGAACTTTTAAGATGGGATGATAAGAATTCAGAAAAGAAATTATAGAGTATATATATAAAAAAATGCTATGTTCCCGTTACCTTTTTTGAGCGTTTATCATATTTAAAATATTTCTCAGGCATACCAGGGTATCAAAGATGAATAGAATCTTTATGTCCCTAGGAATGAGAAATTTCAATTAACGTTAGAAAGAGGTAAAAACTTAGCTGTCTCTTTCTGGTAACCCAAATCGAAACCCCTGGAAATCTTTGAAATCACAGATTCCTTAGAAGACGGAAAGGGTTGAGGACATTCTCACGAATACTAAGGGAACAGAAAGACTTAGGAACTGAGTAGGGATTATTTCGTGCATCTTTCACAAAGAAGATTGAAAAAATATGGGATAATAAACAAAGGGAGGCGTTTGAACTGATAATTTAATGGGACCATACTCCCATGCTCATAAGGGTAGCAGAACATGCCAAGGGGTGCCTTTGGTACCTTAACCAATGGAAGAACCTCTCCTCGTACTGTAAAGTTTAAAGGGCCGTTGTATTTTCCCATCCGTACCAAGCTGTCATAGCTGTTTCGGAATTTCATAAGGGATTTTTTCCTTTTACCGATATATTTTAACAAAGTAGAAAGAGACAAACGATAACCGCTATCTTGGTCTACCCAAATGCTAAAACCGTGGGATCTCTTGTAAACGAAAATGGATGATTAGTTTTCTCACCGATACTAAGGCAACATAAAATACTAGAAACCCTTGCAAGGAATTTTGTTCTCATGACTTTCTTAGAATTCCCAAAGGGACTGGGCTATCAGAAGCGGTAAAGATATGCGAGACGGAAAAAACAAGGAAACACCTGCGTGAGCAGATGTTGCTAGAAGGCACGTGTCGCCTTTCACGCTCGCGTAGCCATTATTACGGGGATACATATGCACCCCTAGTAACCTTCTATAGATATTTCTGCCTTTTTAGTTTTGTACAATGGGAGGTTTTGAATACGTGTTGCTTTTTTGTGTCTACTTTTTTTACCTGCGTAAACCCTTATTCATTCATGGTGTCCTCTACTTTATAAAAAATAATGTCGATGCGCCTTTTAATTTTTGATCTCCTAGTAACAGTGGGAAAGGAAACCATAAAAGCAAACCATAGAAATGACATCATTGTTCAAGGATATCAGAAAATTAAAATGTACGTGAGTATGAAACTCGATGCAACAAATAACCACGGGAAAGCAATTACTACGTAGTAATACATTATTTTACGCGCTCACTTCTGTATAAAACAGCCGTAAAACGAGAGAAATGCTCGTAATTCTTCCCGCAAGTGCTATAAAATTGTTTTGTTGAATAATACACATTGTGTTTTTCGGTTTTAACATAAATAAACCGAAAATACTGAACGAGTTTATTTACATTTATTTGAATAAGCTTCATCTTTTATGGAAGTATCCAAAAATCATTAAAATGTTTGACACACACACGGGAGATGAGTAGAAACGAAAATTTTATACATACACATTTTTTTACATTGCTATACAAAACTTTTATTCGATCGAAAAATCACACAATTCATTTTATATGTTTTGGATTCAGTAGCAGACAAAGTGAATAACAAAATATTCAGCAGCCGTTGTTTTCCCGGTATATTTTTTAAAAGGCTCGTTTACGCTATATCCGTTTTGCGGTAAATTGCGTACGACACGGGGCGCTGTTACCCCGGTCGTTACCTATTTTGCACAATTTTACGTCGTTTTTAATACAACCATCTTGTTTATGCCAATAATAACTATCGTAAATACACAGTCTTAGTTTATGTTGCCCTAGTAGCTGTGAGAAAATTTCTTAACCCTTCTGGAACCGAAATAAAAAAAATCAAACCTGGAATGTATCAGCTGTTTCTGAAACCTAAAGGAACATATGGCGTCTTGAACGGATCGTTTCACTTAATTTCTTATACATTTATAATCTCCTAGTAGTTGTGGGAATGGAATAGGGACGTGCCTTCCATGGGTCCTTGTGATTTGATAGTTTTTTTTAAGGAATAATCCTTCCTGGATATCACGGCAACTATGTGGAAGTTAAGTTATAAAAAGATAGCTTAAGCCCTTTCAGTAGGCAACAAGATTTAGAGATCGAGTGTAAGTCTTAATGGTGGCATAAGTAACCGTGCCTCAGTTGTCTAAAAGCGGATCTACTTAATTGCCTATTTGGGTTTTAATGGCATTCTTTTTTTGCAGCTAAATCCTAAAAGCTAGTTTCGAACGAATACAGACTTTAATTGCACTACTTAAGCCCAATTTTTTCAATTTTCCGTGGACACAAAACTGTTAACGTTTTAGAAATATTTGAGTCTATTTCATAAGAAAATCTCATTATCGGTTCGGCTATGAATCTTACCTTTGCGAAATTTAATTTACGCATAACAAAGGGTAAACTGAAAAGGTTCGGTACAACTAGGGTAAAAAAGGGACATGTATACTTATTATACCCTAGTATGTTGCACCCATAGTATCCTATAGTATTTTTTTAATTAATTAGGGTTCCTTTATATTATGTTATTTTAAAATAATTCCAATACTGTTTGTTTGATATCAGTTAAATAATAGATTATCTCTTAAAATTTTTTCTTTAAAAGTAGGTTTTTTAAACATGTTTCGGTAATGAAAACCCAAAGTTCGGTTTCCTGTTGTAATAAAAATATTAGTATATCTTCATTCAGATGAAATAGCTCGGCATACACTGAATCTCTTTTACGATTCATTTTATTATTTATGCGGACATAGATTTCAATGGAGGAATAAATTTCTTTCGGATAATGTAACTTTTTGTTGGCTTTGATCGTAATTTGTTGGATATAAAATATGGTTTATACGTTGTTTTGGAAAAGCATAAAATTAAATAAAAAGCATTGAATTAAATCTGGTTTTTTATTTTTTACATCAAGACCTTTTATTATTTCATTCATTCACCTTAGTAATACTAGCTGTTCCCGTGCGACTTCATCCGCATGAAATTATAAAAATTGTATTTTATTGTTTACATGTGTCAAATTATCAATTGCAAATGTCAAAATGACATGACATCATCATGTTGGCATCACAAAGCATGGCAACCTTTCTTCCTTGATGTTGACAACTTATGGTCTCTTTCCCACATTAGAGTTTTTATCAAAAATATTTACCCCCTGAGTTTAATGGCGTGTAAACATATAGCCTAAAGCATGACATAAGTGTAGGGCTTTTTATTAAAAAAGAATTATTCAAAAATATGCTGTAATTGCTGACATCTTAGGCAACAAAGAAGTGTGTGTTTTCGCTTTATTATAATAGTATAGTATAGTATAGTCTGCGACGCGAATTTGTGTACGAACTTCTATGAGATTGCATTAAATGAGTTGCTTGGAGACCAAGAGCACCCTCCTGAAACTAAATAATCGCACAACTTTTTAGTTTCGTTTTGATTCCTATGACCTCATATGGAGGTGCGTACACTACTCTGTTTCAGTTTTGTAACTAAACAGTTGAATTGACTGCGAAACAATCGACAATCGGAGCACATGTGTAGTTAAGTCAGAGGTGGCCCGCTCTAATATTGCACATTTGCGTAGTCTTGTGTACAAAAAGTCTCTTTAAGTAATGAAGTTGCTTATTTTAGCAACATCAATGGCGGAAAAACCCAATTACAAATAGCAAGCCAGCTTAATCTTGGAGGGTAACGAAATCCCAGTTTTCTTATCACGGATTAACGTCTAAGACTGAATAGCTGTTGTGATTTATCTCTTCATTAGTAAAGGTTTTTTAAAACGATAATATTCAAATTTAAAATTACTTCAATTAATGCAGTTTTTAAATAACTAGACACCATAATCGTAATTTTATTTCGGTCAATCTAATTTACAATGCTAGTTTTCGCTACGACTCTGTCCGCGTGGAATTAAAAAAACAAAAATAGTCTATCTGTTCTTCCAGACTATCATCTACATATATGCCAAATTTCATCGAGATCCATTCAGCAGTTTAGGATACAAACTCTAACAAACATCCATCCATCTAAACTTTCGTATTTATAATACGAGTAGTAGTAAGATATACCTATTTTAAATAATAAAAGAAGCAAAACAACATGATATAATGTTACTTAAAGTAAATTAATTACATTAAAGGAATTTGCTATTCAAGATTTCGAGCGGCAAGAGTTCCGAGCATTCCGAACAAAGGCAGTGAATTACACCGATTACTTTCATAACAGCGTCCAGTAATATCCGCGGGAATTAAACTCTCATCCGAGGCGCCCTCAGTCCCGGACTTTCCGGGAATTAAGCCGGGATTAGTCACCTCGCCGATGCGCGGGATTACTCTTGAAATAATATGGCGGTCATTCCGAACGTCTCGGCGTTTTTAAGACCTTTTTATTTTACGAATAAAATTACAGAAGAACGTTCTAGACTTTATATGTAGTTTTAGCTGGAAGCTAACAATGTTTTTTTTACAAATAAATCTAATAACATGACTTGGAGAAGAAACGACAAATACATTACGTAAAGAACAAATATTGAAAACTTTCATCCGTGGAGTAGAAAAAAAATTCAAAAGTTCCATAACTACACGGAATATTTTTTCAGATAAAAAGCGAGGGAATGCATGAAAGGTATTTGTAAAGATGTCACTGAAATTATTTTTCAAAATGATTTCACGTGAGACTTTTCGAATAGTCGTATTGACAGTTCATGTTAACGGAATGGATCACACGTACTTGATACTTGAGAGTTTCGTTTCGCGGAATAAAAAACATGGTATCCATTTTAAATGAACGAGCAATGTTTGTACAAACGTTTTCAATTCGAATACGGTTCACTTTTTTTGTTTCGACGGCGAACTTTCAAAGCGTAGCCTTTGTTTCAAACATTTGCGCTGTAATTTGCTTTAACTGGGTGCGTTAGCTACTCTTGTGAAATTGGGTTTACTCGCATTTCCACCGCAGAATAACTCGAAATTCCACAACGTTGCGGCAAATGTTTGATTTACAATGTTTGATGCACCATAGTAAATACGAACTTGGCATCGGTTGTAATTGTTTATTTTGTATTTTGCTGCACAATTTTTGATACCTAAATAATTTTCTATATTAAATAAAAGTTTTAAAAAAAGTATTTAATACACAAACCATTTATTAAAGACTAGCTTTCGCCCGCGACTCCGTCCGCGTGCGATTAAAAAACAGTGAGTATCTTGTGTGTTCTTCTAGACTATTCTCTAAGTCTATGCTAAATTTTATCAAGATCCGTCCAGCCGTTTAGGCTACAAAGTCTAACAAACATCCATCCATACATCTATACTTTCACATTTATAACAATAGTAAGAATTAAGATAAGATTAGCAAGATTTATCAGTTTTTTAGTAAAATTTAATTGCGTGTCTAAATAACATTTCGAAAATGATCAAGATTGGTTATTCCGTATATTTCTAGTACTTTATATATTATCTGTATCAATGGATGTATTGGTATTGGTAATAACGCTCCTATATTAGACAATTACGTGACTAACGGATTACCGCTTAGTGATCTAGTGGATTGAGGTCATTCCTTGCAAACCCAATACATCTCTGATGAATTATTAATTTGCTCGAATGGCTAATTTCATCCGATATTTAGCATTAACCGTTTATACAAAGCCTGGGATTATGTGAGGTTAATGCGTAAGTACAGTTTGAAAATTGGTAAAAGTAACAACGGCAAAACTGATTTAATGTGGAGATTAAAAAAACTAACATCACATCTTTTTTTTCATAAATTAAAGTGGGAAACGAGCAAGCTGCCACCTGGATCCGCCAAAATGGCGAAGCAACCGCTGTCCATAAACATCCGCAATTGCAGATGCGTTGCCTACCCTTATCCGACGGAGGAGACGCACATAAAGTGGATATTTCCCCTTCCTATGCATCTCCTCCACCGTCAAATCCACTTCCTCTTCCCATCCTCTTCTTAAAAGAAAAGGGTGGTAAAGAGAAAGGGACTAAAATTAGGCATCCGGCACCACACTCATCAGACGAAACACGGAATTGGTTCCATTTCACGCCTGTTTTCTGTGTGGTCGTGGTATTACACCGGGCGTGCCGGCCTATTCGTGCTAAGATGTTAAAGCGGGCACTACCACTGTTAAATATCTTCATCTTACTCCGTATCCTACTTCCGTAGGGGCGCATCATTTTGTCCTTCATATAACTACATACGTCATCTCAGTCATCTTTTTGATCATGTCACTTTTCACGCAATCCATCCATCTCTTTCTAGGTCTACTTCTACCGGGGTACCACACTCATGACTAACGTTCTCCTTGTAACATGAGAGTCATAACACTAACAAATAAATCATTAATTTTATATCTTTGTTGCAGATTTGCTTATAGAAATGCTGGGAGTCCTCGCGAGCTACAGTGTCACAGTCAAAGAACTCAAGCAGCTGTTCAATGCTATGAAAGCTGTTAATGGCAAATGGGTATGCTGTTTATTTAATAAATAATTCTTGAACTGGTTCTAGTATTTCCGCATAAAATTGTTTTTCAAATAAGGCAGGAAAATGCGCAAATTGCGATGCTCAAACTTCGTAAAAATGTTGAGAATTTTCTGACTGCCACGGACAACATAAACACGAAGTAGGTTGCCGTTTTTGCCGGATCATTACGCCGCTACTGTGATGTAAATTCAAAGAGTACCAAGCTAACCTCTTGTTAAGCGGTTAGCATTCGCTATCCTTTTTGTGCGGGTTATTTACAATCTCCAACGAATGCTGTTGGCCTGGTATAATGTGTCCTTTGTTGCGGGGGCGGGTTTGGGGTCCTTGCATTTTTTAATGACTACTTCGTAAAGTAAAAAGGTGTACTTAGTAAACTATTTGAGGTACAAAATTAAACTTTTTTTAAACTTCTAAAATAGGCATAGTATGCCGTTCTCGGAACTTCCAAGCAATTCTCTGACGTCTTTTAAAAGTTGTTCCAAAGTGGGATAGGATATGACTTGTTCTAAAAGTCTATATAACTTTGAGGTATTAGAGGAACAAGTCGAGATTTTACGCTAAGCAAGGATGATCTAGTAAATATAAATTAGTCGTATAAGTTGCAGATGTCTAATCACGCCGACTCTAACGCCGGCTCTGCTAAAATTATAAATATTTATTGTTGCAGCCGCGGCACTCAGCCAAGCTCCTCAACGTGTTACGTCAGATGCCCCACAGAAATGGACCTGACGTTTTCTTTAGCTTCCCCGGACGGAAAGGATCGGTAAGTGTGCAAGATTTGCTTCAGATCAGAAGCCAAAGTGTTAAAATATAAATCACGTTCACAAATTAATCTTAATACTTTTTTCATCACTGACCTGAAATTTTTAATAAAAAAAAAATACAAGGTTAAATATAAAACAGAAAAAATTGAAAAAAAAAAGTATTGGAGGCGCCGGGTATCGATCCCGGTACCTCTCGCATGCTAAGCGAGCGCTCTACCATCTGAGCTACGCCCCCTGTTGGTTACGATAGCGAAAATATAAACTGGTATTCAAACAAATACCGTGACCAAGATTACGTAAACATTTCGAAAGTAAAACTAGTTCATGCAACGATTGCATATACTTACTACGTCTATTATTGTGTAAAAATAGGCTCTTAGACATAGTTTTATCAATATTTTAGTAAAATCGCATTCGAAAATCGATTCTCCAAAAGCAGTGAAAGTTTAACTACGCCAATGGCCATTCATTATCGAGATATTTTAATTAGCAAAATTTGTGAGCGACATTCGGTCCCCTTGGCCGATAAATTGGCCAAAACGTTCGGCAAAGGGTCGGCTTTAATAACCCGCCCTCGAGCGCACGAAAAATGTTGCCAAGATTTCCAGATAATACGAGCGTATTAAAAGATTTCTTTTAAATCACGTTGTAAAACTCGAATTAATTTTGTGGGAACGATGTTTTTGTGGAATATACCTTTTTAATATCTTTTTTACTGTTATCAGTTTTGATTAGACAATACGTGCTATTAGGCTATGGAAATAATATAGGAAAATTTAAATGAACAATAGGTATTTGTAGTATTCTTTGCAAAATTTTAATTAAATTCATATTGGTGTGAACCAACCCGCCTCTTGTTAGTTTTCCCACAACTTCCCTCAGGAATGTTGTCAGTCGAGGCTGAAATATGGCTACAACGCCGGCTTCAAGTTTCGTTACCGTTTAAAAGGAATTTAATTCAAATTTCTCGCCATCGGAGCGAACGGATTTCGGTAATTCTTCTGTAATAGCTTTCCGATTGTTGTCGGTTTGCTCGCTCTCGGTTTTGATTGATTTTTTAATTACAACCTTGGGTAATAAATGTTCTTGCTTCTGATAAAAGATCGCAATCTAATATGAAAATTATCGATCCCACTAATCTATAAATAGACAAAGACATGGTGGTAGAGAAAGAGAGATAGCAATGTTTTGTACATATTAAAAAAGCATATTCCTCGGTATTAAAGTATACTGCAAAATTGTAATGCTTCTGCAGTGAAAACTTACGTTAAAATTGTATAGCCGTACAGAAAACCTAAGCGGTACCACAAATCGATACCAGGCGGACAGGACTTAAGGGTATCGTTTAAGCGACCTCCTTATTGGCAATTCTTATTCAAATATGGGCCGGGCCGGCGAGCGTAATCCCAGTGACATACTGGGCTCTATCTGTGTGTTCGTTTTTTTCTTATTTATAGCAGCCCGCCCGAGGGTCGGTCCATTTCTCTCTGTCGCGCTTATCCTCTCATCTGACGGCAAACTGACGCGTCTTAGCCTCGTCTGCTCTCCTAGTTAATGGCGGATGGTTTACGTATGACTTGTATGCTTAACTTTTCAGATTTTTTTACTAAGTTAGGCGTACTTACTGGCGTGTATGTACTTCCGGTGTAAGGATCTTTGTAATAAGGAAAAATTCGGTCGTCGGGTAAAAATAGAGGCCCTTCAAATAAGAGGAAAAGTACCCTAAAATGGTTGTAAGCGTAAAAATTAGTCTTGACACAAACTACGGCAGTTGGGAAGATTTAAGTGCGTTGAGGCCGCAGTTATCTTTCGACCGCTTGATGTAGTGATAAATAGTCTTTTTACCCCTAAAGGGTGCTTCAATATTTTATCTCAATTCCCTACTTTCGGCCCTTTATTGAAGGCTATTCATTTCTTTGTAACGTCGTGCTCTAAAAAGCCTTTCTGGTCCGGACGCGGTACGTTTAGAGACAGAATTTTGCTGTAATATTGAGAATTATTAAAGATTTCTTTGAGACCATTACGTTGTTTTATCGATACCTATTTCATATCGATTTTTATCCTCGAGTTTACAAATTTACTCATTGCAAATTATTTTTTTCTTTGTAGCTGTAGATCGATATCTTGTCGGACTTACTGTGATTTATTTTATCGGTGTTGTAAATAATAGTTATTGCTTCTAATAATAGCGTGAGGCTGTGTCATATTTCATTCGTTAATAACGCTTGGGAAAGCGATCTTTTATCCTTATGGTTTCCTGGAGATTTTGTTTATATATAGCTAAAAAATAGCTGTTTTTACGGTAAACTAAAGTTGTAGTCTAATATAGCTGTATTTTATGTATCGGTCATCCAAATGAGCAAATATGGGCTGGCGAAGTTTGTCGACCGCGAACGGTCATGGCGTATACGATCCCCGGGAACCGAACTTTGCTCGTAACTTGTAACCAAGTTAATAACGGTTACATATTTAACTAGTTCTCGCCTTGATTTAATACGAAATTAGCGCCCTACTGAATTAGTTATAACTTTATGCTATCTCTATTACGGTAAACTTTGTCGGTATAACCGCCAAGTTTTGATGAGTTTATTACGATGGAATATAGTGCAATTTGTTTTAACTTGTGTTTGTTCCAGGCGATAGTGCTGCCCCCGCTAGCGCGGTGGCCGTATGAGAACGGATTTACCTTCACCACATGGTTCAGACTGGATCCCATCAATTCAGTGAACATAGAGCGAGAGAAACCATATCTATACTGGTAAATAATAATTTGTGGTTAACCTTTTCTAAAATAAATATTCATTTGTTTTTTCGTCTCATAATTAATTTATCAGAAAAGCTTTTTAATTAATTGTACCCGTGGGTAACCCCTTCTCTAGTAAAATCAAGCTACCAGGGCGTCATGAGTTTAAAGCGGTAAGCATACGGGCTCGACATTGGCTTTACGGGCACAAACGTTGCATTCAATTAGCTAAATGCATCCGAACTCGGACTTAGGAGCGCAACTGCAATGAAACCAATTTACTTAGAATTTAAATAATATGTACACATCTTACTAATATTATGAATGCGAAGGTTTAGATGTATGGAGGGATGGATGTTTGTTAGAGTTTGTAGCCTAAACGGCTGAACGGATCTCGATGAAACTTGGCGTAGATGTAGAGGGTTGTCTGGAAGAATACATAGGCTACTTAGTTTTTTTTTAATTCCACGCACACGGATTCGCGGGCGAAAACTAGTGTTCTATATAGCTCTGCTTATTTTATGTGACCCTAATACTGTTGATAAAATATTTATAACCGGTATTTATTTTTGTTTATTCACGAAGGTTCTTTAAAAACAAAGTAGAGGTTGAAAGGATACGAAAGGTCGTAAATGAAAAGTTAAATACAATTTAATTACGGTAAATCCTTAGCATAAGTCGGGGCACAATAAATTGAATAAACCTAAAAGTTTTTATTAATGAGCGCTGAAAGCAATACTCTTTTATAAGATATTAGAGTTAATTAACGCGGCTCGCTCCGGAGAGCATTTGAACATTAAATTAATAATTACTGTTATTAAAACGAGCCACCGTTTTGAACATCTAATGAAATTTCTAATAGCCGTATTAGTAATTAAGCATCAATAACTTTACTTGGCTTATAACTGTTAAATTTTACCTTAACTTTTTGTTTTGTTATTGAAATCTATGTTTAATGAAACCGACTGTATGTTATGCAGTTTTAAGACGAGCAAAGGTGTGGGTTACACGGCACACTTTGTCGGCAACTGCTTAGTGCTGACATCGATGAAAGTCCGCGGCAAAGGCTTCCAGCATTGCGTCAAGTACGAGTTCCAGCCAAGAAGGTAAACCATCAGATCAATTCTTACATTCATGCAACACAGCATTTATACGCTGTCTGCTTTCCTGGTACTCCAGGAAATAAATTGATTCACTGTTTCATCTACGGTGACAAATATCTTATGAGTGTTTGTTTATTAAGTTTTATGGTTCTGTTTAATATTTTTATTTGACTATTTAAGACTTATGTGCTATAGATGGTACGCGATAGCTGTCGTGTACATCTACAACAGATGGACGAAGAGCGAGATCAAGTGCCTGGTAAACGGCCAGCTCGCCTCCAGCACTGAAATGGCCTGGTTCGTCTCCACTAATGATGTGAGTATTCCATACTTATATATACTTAATACTATAAAATTAGTACCAATTTGGAAAGGAATAATGAAGCTAATAAAGTGAGCTCCTTAGCCTAAAATCCTATTTAATTACAGTTTTAAGTGCCATTAGGCAGTTTATGTGCTCCTGCTTAATCTCAACGCGAGTACTAGGGGCACATAACTTGAAACAGCTTAGCGTTAACATTTGGTAGTTGCGGGAACATCGACGTGTCTGCTCGTCACGTACAAGTCGTTAGGGGCAATTTATTATCGAAGCTATGCAAAATTGGCATAAAATATGCTGAGCCTATAAAATGTGAACGTAAGGTGTATTGATTGATTTACGATGTGAGACTTTTTAAATATTTTTTTTCCTGAATCTGTTTTCGTAGTTCAATATTTCAACATTAACTTATGACCCTAAAATAGGTCACTCTTTGAAACGATGTCCAAACAATGTGTGGATACAATGAGGTCCTTTGTCCGGCGCGGCGTCCAGCCAGGTGGAGTTAGTCCCGGGGCCGCACGACGAGAGTAATTACCTTTCATCGTGAATAATAAACGACGGCTCCGCTGCGGCCCCTTGATTTTTGCGCAACCCTCGTCCGAGTTTTGTTTTAGTTGTAACATTATTTGGCCGCGACTTTGATATGTGGTCGGCTCGAATTATTATGTTTGTTGTTGTTAATTTGTTCTAATGTAGTGTTTGGGTTGTTCAAAGTTTCCGGAACGCCTCGAGCTGTACTCGAATGGGTTTATTTTGTAAATTGAATTATATTATAACATACTGTATATTTCTAAAGGGAAGTCTATCGATCTGAAAACTTGAAAATCCAACTTTCTGCCAATGTCTATTTATTCGTTATCTTACAACGGCAGTAAAATGTGTCAGATTTTCCTCATATTATCTCACACGCACGTACGCATTTGGCTCATAAACATTAAGCCACTCTGCGTTGAAAAAGATTTAACGTGGCGTTACATCGTTACGAATAGTACGCTGAATAATTAAGCAAGTTTATATAGAGGATAAAAGTTGTTAGTGACAGTACAATAATCTTAGATCAATATTGTTGGTTATATACCAAAATGTTAATTAAATTAAAAGAAAATTTACTACCTTAATAAACATCTTTGTTCAAGTCATATTCAGCTAATCGGTAAGATTCTCCCGTATTTTCCCGCTAACCCGGTTACCGCACTCCGTTAGGTTTATTACTCGCGCGACGCCTTTATTTTATTTGCTAATACATACCTTCAGCCCGCTGTTGTCCTGGTACGTCGAACCACATAAAACGCCCCCAAATCGAGTTAAAAGCTCTTCAGAGAGCTTTCGCCGCGAGAAGAACGTTCAACGAAATTACATCGCACTTGCCTCTCGTCACTTCACGACGTTGTTATTTTTTGTGACTGTTATATATGCCCACTATATTATTAAAGGTTTTTATTATTGTTTATAATTATTTCCAAGGATTTTTTAACAAGTTCAAAATAAGATAATTAAAATAACTATTTGAAAGAGAATAAAAGGTTATCTTGTTTCCTCACTAGATGACCATTAAAACCTTTAAATTCAGATCCTTCCAGATATTTTCCGTATCCGATCAAACTAAGTTTTTAAATGAATATTAATGTTCACCAGCCGTTCGACAAGTGCTACATCGGTGCGACGGCGGAGCTGGACGAGGAGCGTGTCTTTTGCGGCCAGATGGCGGCCATCTACCTGTTCGGAGAGGCGCTCACCACTCACCAGATCTGCGCCATGCACCGCCTCGGACCTGGATATAAGGTACACTAGATTATAAAGAAATTAACAGTAACATTTGTATTGTAAACTACGATAGATCTTTTTCAAGTGTAATGTTTCTTTAACGTTATTATTTCTTAAGTCTATTAATTGATTTCGACACAAAATAATATGTGATTTTAACTATAGATTTTTAATAATGTGTAATATTTGTTTTCCTGCTAACCTCGGATATCAGAGCCAATTCCGTTTCGACAACGAATGCAACATCAGTTTGCCGGAAAACCACAAAAGGGTGAGCGAGACGGCCGCGCCCAAGCTTGAGTACGCTGAACCCCCGCCCGATCCCGATAACGATCCCAATCCCGATATCGATCCCGAATCCAATCCTGACGCTTCTGAAGATACCAGGGGAGCAGAAGATAGCGTAGTTGTAAAGGAAGACTCGACGCCTCGAGGCAGGAGGCTGGCGGATGAAGCGCGCGAAGTGGCCGCCGCGCATGCGACCCTGCTCGTAGATATTGAAGCATGCAAGCGTGTAAGCATGACGCGCCGCTTGCTACGTCTATCTCAAGTGTTCATTCTGCTTTACATGTAGCCATGAATACTTGACATTTACACAAGGAAACTTAGAACTCGTCTCATCGTTCTATGTTACATGCAGGTGTCAAGTATTCAGTTTGCTAGTTGCACAGTGATGTATTTGACACATATCATGGTGTTGTGATGTCCAGGGTCAGTTTCGTTTCAACTCCGAGTCCAGAGTGCCTCTACCGACCGCTGAGGTCCGGGTAGATAAGTACGGCGATCTTATACACGATCCAACGCAGAATATACATGATGTAAGATACAAAATCTGGAATCTGGATTTACTAATCTAAAATTGGATATTGAAAGGTTACTTTTAAAGGGGTAAAAGTTACTTATGGGTGTTAACCAAATTAAATTTGAATTATTGCATGATAATAACATATGAAGTGTAAAATCTTTATTAGAATACTAACAGTAATCAATGTTAAGTTTAGGGTTGTCTCAGAGACAGTTTGTGGGCTCTCCATAAAAGTTATAAAGAGTAGGTGTGGTAGTTAAATTAATTATCTAGGATTATTGAATTAACTTGTTAGAGAGAGTTTAACGGTACAGAATTACAGGAAACTTGTACAACCGACCAACTACAATTTAGGTATCGAGTTACTGTAATGTTTAAACCAGATTTTACTAATCCGAGAATTCCTTAATCAAACTACTATACTATCGACTATCGTCTTATTCATTATTTTAGAAGCAATTAAAGTTTATATAATGAGACAATAATTATTCGAAAAGGCTCATCTGCCCTTCATGTGATCCTGGTACTTGGTCTCATGAATATTTCACAAATATACGCCTAATTTGAATACTTTCGGCAAATTTTCATTTTAATTTGATCCGTGGAGGCAGTTTCGATTTCCAACGAATCCTCTGTTTATTTAGATTAATATTTATTTGCAATCAATATCTTATTACAAATTCCCTGAAGCTGAAAATCGATCTTTACAATAAATAAATGTAATTTTCTAGTATTCGTTTTATAATATCGTTTTTTAATGTTTGTTGTGTAAAAAGTTTGGTAAAAGCACGCGAAAGATGTTTCCAAAGTTATAACAAAAGACTTCAAAGTTATTACTCTCGAGGTCCGTAACGATGCGACGCGCGCTTTTGAAAACTGAACAAAACCGGCCGAAACTTTTATTGATAGAAGAAATTTCTGATACGGAAGTTATAGGGTTGGATAGAGTTGCGAAAATTATCGATGTTAAAACGATAGGAAATACTGTAGTAAGATGCAGATTACTTTTTTTAAACGAGTGTACACACTAAAATATCAATTGTTTTCCGGTCTTCAAGATAATTTTGAAATCATTATATTATTTGTAGTCAAAATGCTATTTGAAATACAAACGGCATCTTCATTTCATTTCAGTTTGAAGAATAAACAGATCGTATTCAATTAATAAAAAAAATATATCTATTAAGGCAGGGCCTTCTCCCTTCCCCACGGCATTCGACTTCCATTGTAAGATCAAACTTGTCTAAAATTATGGAATTTTAATCGACTTCATGTTTCCTTGTAACGGACAATTTCCTTTACTTCAAAAGTTTATTATTTGTTGGGGATTATTTTAGAAAATAATTTGGAATTTTTAAAAGCGATACGGTTTTGTTTTTTTTATTTACGATGAAATCGGATATATTTTTGTTATGTAATTTTTAACTTCTTTAAGACGATCACATCTCTTTCAAATTCAAACTAGTTATATTAAAAAAACTCGCTTGTTACAATCCTTTTCGTGAAAATGGAATTTAGGCTTAACTTTGAAAACTACTTTAGTTTTTTCCTTTCGAATTTCAAAGCAAAGATTTCTAACTTTAGAAGACATCTAAAACATATTAATCTTTTCTTTTTAAGTATTTAAATACTTAAAAAATAATGAGAGATACAAATGGTATAAAAATAATTTTTAACAAAAAATTATTTTTATACCATTTGTATCTATAAGAGTAAATACTTTTGTCAGAAAAAGATTTCAGCATTTTCTTTAAAATTATGCGAGTAAAAAGTTAAAATATTTTATCTAAAATGGAAGAGCGTTTTAAATTAAACGTTTTCGGCTTTTAAATTATTTTTCTTCAAGTCCGCGTTGTGTCTATTTTCGCCGTGTTCGTTGTCGTCGCTTGAGATTTGTGTTCGCCTCATCTCACTTCGAGAATGCTCTAACTTACTATGACAACTTAATGCAACTTGATGTGTTGTGTTTAGAATGTTGTTTTGTGTCTGTTTACAATGTTTGTACAATACCCCACAAGAGTTATAAAAATGTAAGTGATTAAAATTTACTGAAACTGAAAACTTGTAAATATCACTGTGATGTAACTTGGACAATGAAATAGATGTGAATTTTAGTTTATAAATAGTATTATATAAACCGAGTTTAATAAATACTTAATCCTAAATCGGTGAGCCTAAGTAAATCCGTTGCTGTTCGTAAAGTGGCAGGCGCTTAGGGCAAATGTCATGACTTAAAGAATTGCTATTCCATATTAAAAGGCGTATTGGCACTAAACTGAAAAGTCGTTGGAATAGTTAATAATAAACAGAAAAGATTGTTATAAAAGAAAAAATCAAAGTAAGTGTGAAACATTAAACACTATTTAAGTGTGAGGCATTAGCCACTCGCAGCATGCATTATAGTAAACAGCGCTACAGCACTCAGCAACAAATAAACGCGAAAGCTTTCCGCCACATTACAGAGCTTGCTGCACATCGTCTTCAAGTAATTTAAAGTGTTCTATCGACTTGTCATCTTGTTGCCATCCTTGTCACTAACTTTGAATAAAATAGAGACAAGAATATCAGAAAATAATCACTAGATCTCTACTCGTATTTAGTCTGTAATGACGTCAAAATTTTATAATAAAATTTTCAAATACCAATATCTCCTAAAGTATTGAAGCTAGAATTACGAAACAAAAAACATCGAATAGCCAACTTCATATTCTATTTAGAGTTTTTTAATTTATAACTCTAGCTTATATAGTTTGGGAAAAAATTTAAATTTGATAAAATACTTAGTTTTGACGTCGTGTTTTGTAGATTTGTTTGTAAGGTCTCTTAACATAATGAAAATCTTTGTTTTGTAGTATAATATAGTATAACGTTGGATCGGATTATCGGGACTTATCCGCAGCGAGGCGGGTAAGAAGACACCGACCGCAACAATTACATTAACCTTAAAAGCTACTGTCGAAAGGATTCATATCTTACGCAGGGCTGTCACTGCAATATAATATTGTTTAATCTTACCAAGTTGTCTTCCAAGAGTAAATTGTTTCATTAAATAAAAGATTTTAACACATTAGTACTCGTATATATTTTTTTACTACAAGTTGTTTTATTAAAACTATACTTACGTAATATAAAAAGTCCCAATGACTTCTATATCATTTTAGTATTCGTTATTAGATATTTAAATGTAACAAAACTTCTATTACTTCTAGAAGTTCATTTGTTATCGTTTGCTTGAGAAAATTAGTGTCAAAAAAATAAACCAAAAAAATACGTTCATTAATATAGGTGTTTAGTTTGAGCGGTGTGGCAACCCTGCACCTCGCGTGTTATCTTAGCTAATGGCTCGCCGCTTACACCACTTTATCTTCTCATCTTGTTTTGTTTATATTTTTACTTGATATTACATGAAATTGTTATAAAAATACAATATAAAAATCAACCAAACACTAAATGCCACCTTGCCAGTGTCATATCTACTTATTTTGATGAAATTATACGATTTATTTCAACAATTTAAGTATAGTTAAGGACTTTGTATAATTTTTCAACTATTGAGATGAACATAGTTAACATCAACATTTATATTATGAGTTAAAAGCCACATTTGTGCAGCGCCATCTATCGGGCATTAAGTAATTTCTCGGGAAACGTACTAAACGCCTTGATAAAAAGTTTGTTTAAATTTCTCTTTTGTTTTTTTATTATCTTCAACATTGGAATATAACTTTGGGATACTAACACGGTTGTTTTCTTTGTATTTCGTTTTTCACATCAGTTTTGCTACATTTTCGATCGTTGTCTTAACAAAATGGTATTCGCATTCAAACCGCTTTCCTGCAATTTGGTGATTTGGTTATTTATCCGTTGTTAGTGCATGTTTAACTTGTTTGTGTGTTTTAATATTTTGTTTAATAATTTTACTATTATTTTAATTGTTAACGTTTATTAATTTCAAATTATTATTATTATTACGATAATTAAAAATATGTTGCCCTGAAATGTAGAATTTAATTTCAAACTTGAAAACTTCAACTCAATCTCGCAGACTTGCTCTCATTTTTAAATATTTCTCTTCGTATTCTATGAGATTTGTGAGTGTTGGTTTGTATGCAGGTGCTATATGACGGCAAGCTGTCGTCAGCCATCGTGTTTATGTACAACCCTGTGGCGACGGATGGCCAACTTTGTCTGCAGTCTGCCCCTAAAGGCAACGTCTCATACTTCGTGCACACGCCGCACGCACTCATGCTGCAGGTATACCAGGAGATTAGAACTTACAAGGAGATTTATTGATATCCAAAGATGCTTAACATTTCCGGTCAGACAATAGAAATAAAACCCCAGGGATAATGACCCTTGATGAAAAGTCTTTGTAAATAAACTCTATATGCAATTCGAGTCGTAAGCTGTTTACTTAAGTTAGTGATTTTAACGAATTAACTGTTTGTATGTTTTTTTTTTTAAATTCCTATCAATAGGTACTCTTGTTACTGTTTATCATTGTTTGTAGGAGGTGAAGGCAGTGGTAACACACTCCATACACAGCGCTCTTAACTCTATCGGCGGCGTGCAAGTCCTGTTTCCACTGTTCGCACAACTCGATCTACCCCACGACGCACCTCCTAATGAGCCTAAAAGAGACCCTATGCTGTGGTAAGTTAGACCCTATTTCCACTAACGCAACAATACCTTCGTAATCGTAAACACTGCCTCTGATTTCGTCGTTATTCAGAATTAATAAAACTAGTAAAGTTACTAAACTAAAATACAACTAAGTAGAAGTTAGAATAAACTTTCTAATATAGGAACAATTCATTAATATTCCGAGTAGCTTAACGTAAACCGTCTAAATGCACTTTAGTTGTCGTTCGCTAATCGCCCCTGGAAGTTGCCAGCCATCTCGAAGCGGGCGGGTAATAGCTAGAACTAACTCCTGACAACTCCTAATTGCCTGGTCTTGCCCCTTGTTCGGATTTATGAACAGCGTTTTATGTGCGCGACAATAATTTATTCGCTAAGGGCTTCGTGTATTTTAACTTTTTTTCTTCGTTTACAATTCAATTTGTAGCCGCGGGAAAACATTTTTTGTCGCAACAAAAAGAAACATAGCTCGGTAATTACGTGATTTGTTATTTTTTTTGTGCGTCCTTTTCCTTTAATAAAGCTCGAATTTCTCTATTTAAAACGTCAAACTTGGATATAATCGAGAAATGTAAATTGTTATTAAATATTGTGCAATATTAATTGAGAAAGTTAATGTTTAATTTGTAATAACCGTTACCGTTCAAGTCACATTTGCCTAATGGAGGTTCAGTTATCACTGGAAGGGTTACATCGAGAAGATAATATATTTGCTGAATATCTTACGGGTTTTGATATAATCCCTCCATTAGCCGCTTATGTCTACAATCGAGATTTATGTACTTTCCGTGCAATATTATGTGGGCTAAAGCCATTCGACAACTTTGCTAACTTGCATTTAACGCCTGATTAAATTTAATAGCAATGTTGCAGTAGATTATTTTGGAAGATGTTTTTTAAAGGTTTTTTTTTTTAAGATCAAAGGTACAAAACGATGCCGTTTTCTGTTTCCCTAAAACCATGTGTAAAATTTCCTGATTCTTGGTTCCAGCTCGAAGTTGCTTGGTTTCGTGTGCTCGCTGGTGGAGTCGTGCAGCACGGTGCAGCAACACATGTTGCAATGCCGGGGTTTCCTCGTCGTATCTCATATGCTGCAGCGCTGCGGTCGCGACCACCTCACTGCAGACACGCTGGCGTCCTTCCTGCACCTCACTAAACACCTGGTTACATGCTGCTCGCCTAACTCTGATTTACTACTGAAACAGGTGAGCGATGTTCTATTTCCTATCTTTTTGCTTTTAGTAAATGAAAAGAGACAGAGAAAGAGAGAAAAGACAGACAAATAGATTGCCTTTTATGCACTATCGACATCTGAAATACAAAATACTTCTAGTTGTCTAGATAAATAGCATGAACTCATAGGATACTGAAGGTATATCGATTGAGATGAGTCGACATCAGTTTGCTTTTTCAAATTACCAGAGAGTCTATTACGAATATTTGCAGTTGCGAAAATTTGTAAGGTATCGAGAAAATCTGTATGAAATTTGTTACTGATATTTATTGCCGTTAGCACAGATATAATAAAAAAAATTGTCGATTACGTTACGAAAACGTTTTCACGAATGTTTTTGATAAGCCTGGTCATATATTCTGTTCTTTTAAGAGCTTTGTTTTACATTATAACAAATGTCCAGGTAAGTAGTGGCACAGTAGCGACATCTATATGAAGCAAATTAAATATGGGCACTGCTTTGGGTAGCTATATCCAACCTTTTATATTACAATCACGTTTGTGTATTAATTTACAAAAAAATGGTGTATTCTTGTTGTTGTTTATCTAAATTTAAGTTTAATATATTTAGTTCAAAATTGTTAATTCACATTCTGCACTTTTGACAGAGAATTTACACAGCCAAAACACGTTTAAAAACAGACCAATATATTTTTTATAGCATTGGGGATTCCTGCATTTTTCTTTTGCATAAAATTACATTCTTACATTTTTAATGAAAGCTTTTTTAGATGACATCGTGAAGTTTCAGCCGAGAATGAAAAAATCTACGCACAATTCCCAAAAGCTGCAAGTTTTTATTTTCCCCCTCGATGGTTGTTAGCGCATGCTCCTCTTGCTTTTATACCCCCTACCGCCCAATTTACACAAAAACTCGCACAAAATATTACACAAAAACCCCACAACCTTTTACACATCCTTCATTTTTATTTATGGACTTTTTGGCCAATCATTTGTAATTTATTATTTTGATTATTGCAGAATTAAGCTCCAGTGATTAATTTTCGATTTTAATTCCTACAGCATAGAATTCGAAGTCACCAAAAGGGTTCTGCTTCAATAAAGAGCAAGCATTAAAGCAATTAGTTTCGTTAGTTTATAATATCACTGCTTTGCACTTGGGGCTTTTAATAAAAGCAATGCCCACGTTAGAATACACTTGGAATTATATTAAAAAATCAAGTTTTATAAGAAGAATGAAAAATATTTTACACTGCTTTCTAAGTTGATTTTCTCACATCGAACACTTAGTAAACGCACCTAAGGGTCTTATTAGGTTACAACATTGTGACTAACACGGGTTTATTTGTAAAATAAAATCCATACAGACTTTTATTTAATTCAATATCAATCAGCAAGAGAGCGTTACGCTAACGACCATCGAACAGTAAAAAGTCTATGCTAATTCAGTCTTTCTGTCATTCTTTCGTGACGTGGCAGCTGCTAGACCACGTGCTGTTCAACCCCTCGCTGTGGATCCACACACCAGCGGCGGTGCAGGCCAGGTTGTACTGCTACCTGGCGACCGACTTCCTGGCAGATGCTCACATCTACGGCAGCGTGAGGAGAGTCAGCACGGTCCTGCAAACTGTACACACCCTGAAATACTACTACTGGGTGGTTAATCCTAGGACCAAGAGTGGGATCACCCCTAAAGGATTGGGTGAGTAGTGTTAGACTCTATTTAGCAATATCTTAAGCTTGGAATCTTCTGCTAGCTATTTCAATACACGAATTTTGTTAGGAAAAAAGAATTAAAAAGACCGCACTTTGTTAATTTACTTCAAAATCTTACTTCTTCCTAATAATCTCGAATTTAGAAGGACAGATAGAAGGATATATATAACATAAAATGCCGAACGAATCTTGATTTGGCATAGATGTAAAGGATAGTTTGGAAGATAAGATGTCCTGACTTCGGACGGAGTCGCGGGTAAAAGCCAGAGTTTTAATAAAAATGTTCACCTACATTGCTTATGGTAGCAATTTATTGTTTAGTTTCTTAACAAAGTAAATGAAACTCAAGGAAAATGTTTCAATTTTATATTAAGTTAATAAAGCGACGTTATCAAGGTAAGGAATCAGAGACGAGTTGATAAATGACCGGCGTAGCTCCGGAAACAATTCATCTGCCCTAATATGAAGACATTATAACGATAGCGTGGGGGGCGTAGCAGCAGGGGGGACTAAATCGCAACAAATTTGTCGCTGTCGTAGCGACTCTCGCAGGCTCGTTTACTAAGGCTTTATCACTTTTATTTGACGACCATTTATCTGTAGTACATCTCTATTTGCTTCTGAAATATCGCAGCTTTCCTTCTAACATTTATTTTGATGATCGGCTATTTAAAGTATAATTAGCGATTATCCGTTTAACTACTTTTTGACAAGCAGATGTTGTCCAGCAATTTACCAAATAATTTGCAACATCACAATATTCATTCATTTTTTTTTCATTAGTAAAAAGGAGAGGTAAAATTTTCTTAAATTTCTATCGAAGTGAAACTGCCAAGAGACCAATGTGATTGTTCATTGTTATAGAAGGTCCTCGTCCCGCGCACAAGGACATCCTGACCATCCGTGCGTACATCCTGCTGTTCTTGAAGCAGCTCATCATGATTGGCAATGGCGTGAAGGAGGACGAGCTGCAGGCCATCCTCAACTACCTCACTACAATGCACGAGGTATAGACGAAGATATAAATTTCTCCCCTTTTCGAATCGAATATCTTTGCAAATTATCACCAGCTATGCTTATATTATGTATTTTGTTATGACATTTTTAACACAATTGAATTCTAAATTTTCACTGTAATGGTTAGGAAATAAATTTCCTCGACTGTAAGCACATCGATGGTTAATTGTTTTTTGTGTTTTTCAGGACGAGAATCTTCACGATGTCCTACAGATGTTGATATCTTTGATGTCAGACCATCCCAGCTCAATGGTGCCCGCTTTCGATGCTAAGGTATTAAATGTGCCTCTTTAATAATATAATACTCGACAAAAATCTAACAGCTTAATACAACATCACAACAAAATGTCACAGGGTGGAGTAAGAACCATATTCAAACTGCTGGCCTCAGAGAGTCAGCTGATCAGATTGCAGGCACTCAAACTACTCGGCTTCTTCCTTAGTCGAAGCACACACAAGTATGTTTTTATTCTTTTGTACATTTTGTATAGTCCGTTTCATTGTTATTCAAAACTAATGTGTTAAACAGGCGTAAATATGACGTGATGTCGCCTCACAATCTGTACACGTTGCTGGCGACGCGGCTCGGCGCGGCGGGAACTGGGGGCACCGTGGGCAGCGCGGGGAGTGCCGCCGGGGGCCCTGGGATCACGGGGGGCACGGCGAGCGCGGGGCTATCACTGCCCGTGTACAACGCGCTGTACGAACTGCTGACAGAGCACGTGGCGCAGCAGATCCTATACACCAGCCACCCGGAGCCACAGCCGCACTTCCGACTGGAGAACCCCAGTGAGACATATTCGGATTATATTGAGCATTACAAATAACTTAATGTTGTATATTTTAATATATATTTTTCAATTCCAGTGATATTAAAAGTGGTAGCAACACTGATCCGACAGTCAAAGCAGACGGAACAGCTGTTGGAAGTAAAGAAGCTGTTCCTCTCGGACATGACGCTGCTGTGTAGTAACAACCGCGAGAATCGGCGCACTGTGCTGCAGATGTCAGTGTGGCAGGAGTGGCTGGTGGCCATGGCTTACATCCACCCCAAGAACGCAGAAGAGCAAAAGATCTCCGACATGGTGTACTCGCTTTTCCGTATGCTGCTGCATCACGCCATCAAGCACGAGTACGGCGGCTGGCGCGTCTGGGTCGACACGCTTGCCATTGTGCATTCCAAGGTAACGATTATTTAATGAGTGAAAAACTTATTTGTACCAATCGATAAAAAATGTTTGATAAAATGTTTTTCTAATTTCAGGTTTCATACGAGGAGTTCAAGCTTCAATTCGCCCAAATGTACGAGCACTACGAGCAGCGGCGTGCGGACAACATCACGGACCCGGCGGAGCGCCAACAGCGGCCGATATCTACCATCTCTGGCTGGGATAGGCACACGGAGCCCGCTGCGCCGCGCCTGCGCTCCGACGCCGGCGACAGCGCCGCCAGCACTCCCGCCACCATCAAGAAGCAGAACGTTCTCAACCACGCGGCGCAGACGGAGATCGGCAAGGGACTCTCACTCAGGGAGGTCGAGGGTTGCAACTGCAACAAACGTGATTCCCGTGATAGTGACAGGAGCGAGGAGCCAAGGACTACACAAGTGTATAGTGACGTGTGTAAAGTGCATAGTCCTCTTAAGCAGAGCGCGGGCTCCGACGCCGGCGCCGACGACGGTTGTGATAGTGTTAATAATGAAACCGAGCATGCAGTGGACGAGGGCGAGCAGCTCGGCGATGAGCAGACCCCTGACAGCGAACTGGTGCAGTCCATTATTGACAACAAGTTGCTAGAGAGTTCCGAATCCGGCATCGGAATAATCGACTCGGACAAGACAGACAAACCTCTCAGCCGGCAAGGCAGCCTGGATTACATTCCGGTTAGGGACGTAGGAGACAGCCTCACCAAAGATGATAACACGGATAAGAGTGAAGGTATACCCTCGAGCTTGTCTGCGAGCGAAGCTACGAGTCCTGAGAAAGTGGTCGATATGAATATTGTACACGAGAGAGAATCAGAACTATCGGATCGGTCCGAATTATATTTAACCCCCAGCGAGGCTACGAGTCCCAGAAGAATGCAGGAAAAGTCTGAAACTAGTATTTCTGAAGAGATAACCGGCGATGATCCTAAACATATCGCTATTAACATTGTCAACGATGTACTGTCTATAGCCCTAGAGACAGTGAAACTGAAGGCGGACGATGACACGGACTCAGGAGCGATATCCGGCGGACTGCACTCTGAGGGGAACACGCCCAACGGACGAGACGACTTCGAACAGGACATGGAAGAAATGATCGATCAAAAACAAACCGTTGAAACGATCGCTAGTGAACTTGTTATGGATCTAATTTCAACAGTTGTTTCTACAAGCGAAGCTCAAGAAGAGACGATGACCAAAGATAGCGAAAGCCCTAGGAGAGCTTCGACTTCTGAACATTCTGAGGAAGGAAATGTCTTACCTCTAGATGGAGATTTCATAGTTAATCCCGATAGTGACGGACCGTCGCAAGATATGTTATCAAGTAAAATAGCCGAAGAAAATGCGAAAAATGATAGCCATAGAGTAGAAACGGAGGAGTCGGAAGATAATAAAACACCAGAAATTCCGCCAATTTCGACAATTAGCGAGAATATATCGCTTGCCAACAAAAAAGAACATGAGCACGAGGAAGAGAGAAGTCGAGAGAGCGAGCGAGACAAGAGACGAGTTAGCTTACCGGGTGATAGCGAGATGAAACAGGACGGCAGAACAGAAAACGTATCGCAAGGCACGAACACATCCGCTTCACCAAAACGACCGCGAAGCGCGTCCACGAGTACTCAAGTCGATTCAAATCACTTCGGTGCGTTTATAGCTACGTTATAACTTAATTTGTTATCTGCTAGTTAAAATAGACCTTTATGTTACTTATGTAATTACTTGACCCTTTATTTACTCCGTAGAAATATGTATGTTTACAGAATCAAGTCGTCCAAAGTGCACACGGCCGATGTTCTCACCGGGTCCGACGCGACCCCCGTTCCGCATCCCCGAGTTCCGTTGGTCCTACATCCACCAGCGACTGCTTTCAGACGTGCTCTTCTCACTGGAGACTGACATACAGGTCTCATCACATTTATACCCTCTCTATAAATTTATAAAGTAATATAGAAGTTTAATTTGCTTCGAAAATCCAAGGTGTTAAAATAATTCCATTATAATTGTCAATTCAATAAAACTAGTTTTCTTGTATCAGGTGTGGCGTAGTCACTCCACTAAATCGGTGATAGACTTCGTAAATAGCAGCGAGAACGCGATCTTCGTGGTGAACACGGTGCATCTCATCAGCCAGCTCGCAGACAACCTGATTATCGCGTGCGGCGGCCTGCTACCGCTGCTGGCCTCCGCAACATCCCCTAATGTAAGATCATTGACGTCCCTATTACAATTTTTACTTTACGAATATTTATATTCTATGTTACTTCTAGAATGAGCTGGACGTTATTGAGCCGACTCAGGGTATGCCTGTGGAGGTTGCTGTGACGTTCCTTCAACGGCTGGTCAGCATGGCCGACGTGCTGATCTTCGCCAGTGCTCTCAACTTCGCTGAGCTGGAGGCTGAGAAGAACATGTCTAGCGGTGGAATACTACGCCAGTGTCTGAGATTGGTCAGTGAAAACTAATAATCTAGTACTTTGATAGAAATCTTCGAAATTGTTAGTTGTTTTTTTAGTCCATAAAGCCGTAATATAGAATGTTTTATCAGCATTACATAGAATGAAAAGAACAATTTCTTACATAATTTATTTTTCTTAGGCCTTTACTACTCTTTCGATTTTATGAACAATTTTCTAGTTCCTAAATTCTCTTGAGTATTTTCAGACTATTAGGGTATTGCTTCGTAGGACGTAAACGCCTTCTTTAGACAACAGTCTTACTTCAATAGAACCGAAATTACAATCGGTCTGTAGGTTTTTGTTAAATTTAGTTAAAGATTTTTCTGTTCATGTATTTGGCTGCGAAAAAATTAAAATATAGGAATCTTTAGTATGTCAACATCAAGAGTTAATCTCTGTTACAGATGCCAGAAATAAAACATATAGTTTTCTATCACTTGGGAAAGAACAAATTCTGTACTATATTTCACATTACACCTGTTGTGCGCCGCAGTCCACTTATTGTGTGACACTTTACACATGTGTGTCGCATTACACATGTGCGTTACATTACACATGTGCGTTTCATTACACATGTGCGTTTCATTACACATGTGCGTTTCATTACACATGTGCGTCCCGTTACACATTTGCATCGTATAACACGTGTGCACGGTCTAAGTCACGTGTTATTTCGCATTACATATGATGCGTGTTCTATAGAGTTAGATTGTGTATAGCATTAGCAGTAGCGTGTATCGGTAGCTTGTAGCGTGTGCGCAGGTGTGTACGTGCGCGGTTCGCAACTGCCTCGAGTGCAAGGAGCGGCAGCGCTGCGCCGCCGCGCGTGCGGCACGTGCCCCGGATTCTCCCGCGCCTAAGGTAAACCCAAAGTTGAAGGTTGTGGATAGTTCAACAGAAGTCAATAAACATTTGAACCACGAAGATTGGAATCTGTAATTCACATAATGATTCTTTAGAAACGTAAACATTTGTACACTAAATAAGAGTGACGGAAATTGTATATACGTCCGTCTTATTGATAGAGAGTTAAATATAATGTGTGATTTAATGTACTTAAACAGATGGTTTATAATTATCAGTAAATATAGTTTAGAATAGTATACTAGCGAACTGTAGAATGTTGCATGAAAGTTTACAAATTTCTTTGAATGAGTATATGTCTTATAGGAACTGATTTGCTGTTATCTCTCAATTATGATTTTAATGGGTTTATGATTGGTTTTACAAAAGGAAGTCGCTACATATTTCTACATCAATTTATCTGTTTGAGTCAGGAACATATTTGTGTATGTAAGCAGAGCGTGGTGGCGAGCCTAGCAGACACGTCGAGCCCAGTGAAGGACCCCGAGCGCTTACTGCAGGACATGGATGTTAACAGGCTGCGTGCCGTCATCTACAGAGACGTGGTGAGGTTCATCACACAATAGGGGCACTCATGCCACATGGAAATAAAAAACTGTGTAGCTAAAAGCATAGACTGAAATCTCTGTTTTCATTTATCAGGCATTTATACATGTCTTCAATATTTGATTCCAGGAGGAGACAAAGCAAGCTCAGTTCCTGTCATTAGCGATCGTGTACTTCATCTCAGTGCTGATGGTGTCCAAGTACCGCGATATCTTGGAGCCGCCGCACGCGTCGCACGCGCCGCCTGACTGCGCGCGCAGACCACATCACCATGAACACCACGGTGCGTCTCCACCACACACCAAACTCACCACACTCACCATATCGATACCTGTCACTCTCAACTTCTAGTTTATATACTGTTAATGCTCTCTATTCTCAACTTAAAATCTTCATATGAAACATATTCTTTCTGAAAGAATGGGGATTATAAGATTCTTTGTGAATGTGTCGTCAAAGCGTTACACCACGAAATACATTTATTTGCAGTATAATATTACTAACAATGTTTATATTTTAATGACGGAGTAATTTTTGTTGTAGTAAATCTTTTAAATCAATTAGTTTTCATTTGAATTGAATTTGTAAGTAACTTTCATTCATTTAGTAATGTTTGCCTTTGTTTTTTGCCTGTTTTAGTATGTTCGGTAAAATGATTTTGGTAACATTGAATGACTTATTTGAATTTAAATTAACAACATATTGTTATGTTGGTAGCGACATTCGGAACATCGTCTTAATCATCGTCATTTTTATTTTGCTTATTATAAAACGCTTAGTCGCACGGAATATGACTATTAATGAAATCTAATTTCGTTTCATGTAAAATATCACAATTTAGTTTACAAAACACACAGTTTTTGTTTATATTTTAACAATTACAAAAGAAAACATATAACTTCAATTAGTAATAACTCAATTTTGTCACGGAAATATTAGATGTTCAGTTATTTTACAATGTTGGTAAGGTACTGTACTTTATCGTACTGTACTGTAAATAGTAAAGTACATTGACAGTAGGTGACAATACTAACGTGTTTCGATGGACTTATTTGAATGTGTCGTTTCTCCTCTTTTTTCACGCCGCTTGATTCCGCGTCACATTTGGACACCTGGTAACATCGTCTGTGTTATTTGTTCCGCCCTCTCTGACGCTATGAAATGTTGCACAACACATTTACCGCTACAAATACATGATTTTTTTATGTTAATTTTAAAACTACATAAATTTTCATAAATCCTCGCTATTCGCTTACTTTCCAAATTGATTTTTGTCATACGTGCATTACCATCACAAACATTGTACCACTGGGGACACTGTGTAGCGGGGGGCACGCGGCCGCTATTCCCGCAGTGGTCGCACCACGTGTACCCGCAGTTCCTGCCGGGTGGGCACCCGCACGCGCACCGCCACCCGCACGGCCACTCGCACAAGCAGTGCGCGCACAACTCACACGCGGCGCACGCACGCCTCGCTAACTACCGCGCGCACGCGGGTACGCGCTGCGCTCGAACAACGCAAGCTCGCATCGTATCGCTTACGGATATACCATTACAATACATGCGGTTATTAAAAAAAAAACAAAGAAAAATGCCCATAAGGCGACAGTTCTGACACTTAACACGTTAAACGCCATTTGGGACACAATGTGCCGACACTCAAATTTGCGCACTGGCCACATCAAATGTTATTTTGTCAAAAATTCAAAACATTGTTTTTTTTTATAATTTCATAGTACTATAGTACTAAATTGTATTTCACCTACTCACTGCAATAATTTCCTTAGTTTTTATACACATCCCCGTGTTTTAAACTAACGCGAATATGTGTTCTCTAGGGCCACGCCGGTCTTATGGAACGATGGCTTAAACGGTGACCACCATCTAAATTAAGCACTTCAAATGTTAGTCTAACTCGCAGTCACCCGTGATCCCCATGGTCTGAACACATATTTTCTTGTCGGTCACCGGTGTACCTCGTGGCTTCAACGAAACAGTATGAAAAAATTGATGGCATTTAACGTGTTAAGTACTTAAATAATTTAGAATATTGTTAGTTAAATATGTTACTTATAAATAATTCGTTAGCAATGCGATGCGAGTACTATAGATGTTGTCGACGTTCGCGATCACTGTCTTGTCTACCTAGGCTCTCAATGCCCTAGACATTCCCGAGTCTAGATTACCCGCAAGACAACACAGTGTTATACCGGTCCCGCTTTAGCACCGCTGTTTTCGTTTTTATTATAATTTGCGACATCATCTCACCATTAGAGATTTAGTTTAGGCTGTTTGGTTTTTATTTTAACTTTCCTGTTTTACTAACACTATAGTTTTAGTTACCCTAGACTAGTTTTTAAGAGTTATAGACTAACTTGAATATAGACAGCCTTAAATCGTTTTGCATAGCATAATTATAGCTTTGAGAGATTATGAAAAAATGTAGTACATCCCTTTAAGTCCTCGCTTATTAAGTGCTTTGATGTTTTTGTGGGCAAAAAGGAAGTAATATTTTAATATTTTGTACCTTTCTTTAGACCACACTGGCGATGACGTGGAATACGCAATGATTGTCGTAGACGAGAATAATTCAAACATGAATGAGTTGGATTCGCCTTCGATGAAGGTAAGATTTTGTACTAAATAGAGTCTTATGTTTAATGTTTAAATGTTGAATTTCCTCTGGCATGAGTAAGAAATCCCAGCAAAATTTACGGATAATAAAACTGTAGATACTAAAGTAGATAGTGGTAATAAATTAGAATTTTCTTTTGTAATTCGATTCTAATACTATTGTATTTTTGTAAGTCAATTTTTAGTGTTTCTCAGTAATTCATTGTTCAACACGAACACGAACGTTTTGTAAGTAGATATAATGTTTTAAATCATTTAAACTTCTACGATAATCCATTTAAATGAAATCGGCATGACTTAATTTTAATATTTCTGGTAGTTTAGTTATCTAAAATAGTTTTAGGTCTTCCATGTTGTCTAGTTCATGCATGTTTAGGTACAAAGTTCGATTCCATTTTGGATTTTTGTTTTGCTGTCATCGGTTTTTCATTGTGCCTCTGTGCGTTAGATTCGATGTGCCTCGGTGGGGAATAGCTTTGATATAATTTCTTTTGTTTTGCAAACGCGTTAAAATATAAGGAAGATAAAGAAGAGGGCGTGGCGTGTATTGAAACGACAACAGACGAGGCGAAACCGAATACTAGCGAAAAGACTAAGAGTGAAGATTCCCCCGCTTCGGAGAAGGAGGAACCGCTTTACAAGTCCAGTCTCCGAGTAGCCAGGCCTAAGCCCAAGGTCAGTTCTGGGACTTGCAGGCTAACTTAGATCTCTTCCTCTTGGATTGGTCTCCTAGGATTCTTATACTGACGCTTATTGTCTAGTCTAGACGAACCAACAACTTCAGTCGTAAATCTTTTAGTGTTTTCCATTAATAGTCTATTTTCTTGAATTATAAATGATTTAAAATTAGCTTGAAATTGTTTTAAAGATTAAGAAAACTTTAGAAATCGTGGTCATGCCCCTTTAGGATTTGCTGTACTATTGTTTAATACTAATATACTAAATAAATGTTACCCTCCTGTCATAAGCCTCCGTCCGCGAGGTCCAAAACATTGTCTGGGATCACGGTGTCAGTAGTCAACCTGGTTGGTACGAGTTTCTACAGCACACTTCTAGTGACACTCGCTCAATAATACACTAAATTTAGGGAGTTTTAGTGACGATATTGGTTCATAAAAATTTACAACCACTAAATAAAAAAAAACAAAAATTCTTGTTGTGTAATATTATGTTGAATTCTTATAAATGTAACGATTTATCCTTATGTTCCTAAATAACATTAATTTGCATATAATTAAAAAATATTTGGTTGATTTTGAACCTAAATCGTTTAACGTCGCTAAATCAAAATGGACGCACAAGCTTGTCACGTCAGTTTCCAAACATGTTAAAAACGTATTGCTATCTCTTATTTTCCAAATGGTGTGAGCGGGATGCCAATATGTTTTATTGAATACAGGGAAACTCATTAACACAGAGTGATATGATAGCTACGCAGTACTAACAAATATATGCAATATTTGCTAATATAACTCGTATAAAAATCAATTGCACAAAGCACAGTACTAACTACACGGTTTTATGCAATTTTAATTGAATAACCAATTTTAATAATGCGTTGATCGCTTGATTATTAATTGTGGGATTCGGTTACGTGATGTTTTAATATAAGTAAAAATAAATAGACAACGATATTGTTAGTAAACTAGTTTTCATAAAAAATATACGAACAAATAATTCTCTTGAATTGAATACAAGGAAAGAATAACATCGTATAGTTTTTCAAAATCTTCTTCTTGATATACACATTTAATATTTTACGTATTTTTAAAGACCCTCAGTATTTTTTATTGGATTTTAGCAGTCTGCTAGTTTTACTGTAAGAATTTAGTAGCGTGTTTGCATGGCGACTTTGCTTGCTTTTCACTTGCATTTTCTCTTTACTTGCATGTTTTAATCCTCACTTGCTTTTGTATAAATGTCCAAGTTTTTATTGAATTGTATTATATCATTTATTTCATCAAATACGTTATTTTTATTTATAATGCGGTGGGAAATTGAACTCTGTTTGTGTTGGAACAGAGCGTAGATTCGATTGAGGATGCCGGTTCTTTCCACCTGAACTCGACGGAGACGACAAACAACGATCCAGAGACATCTAGTGAGATCGCAATGGACGATAATAAACATGCAGTAAGGAAATTTCTTATAATGTAAAGCAATTAAAATCTTTATTAGTACTATTGCTATTTATAAATGTAACCTATTTCTGTTCCCAATTTAATTTAGATATATGAGAGCGCGAGCGTCGGTGGCTCAGTGGTTTCAGCACTTGACTTGTAAATCTCCCGGTCTTGGGTTCGAATCCCGCCATGTACCAATGTGATTTTCGATTTTTCGAATTTCCATATGTACATAATATACCCGACGTTCTTACGGTGAAGGAAAACATCGTGACACTACCTGCACATTTCGGCGAAGAAATTCAAAGATATGTGTGAAGTCAATCAACCCGTAGTTGGCCAGCGTGGTTGACTATGGTCTAGTCACCCTAATTTAGGGTAGGCTCCGAGCCCCTCGGTGGGGACGTATAGTGAGCTGGTGATGATGAGAGCGCGTACACACGTTTGACTAAACAATCGCACCACTGTTAAGTCGCGCGTTGATTTCCATGAGCTTATATGGTGGTGCGTTACTCAATTTTTAGTTGTGCAACTAAACAGTTGAATTGACTGCGAAACAATCGACAATCGCACAACAGTAGTTCAGTCAAAGTTGTGTGCCGGCTCTTATGGTGTTTTTTTTTTATTAAGGTGAGCAATGACGAGTCTTGGACTGATGTAAACCTGAACGAGGAGGAGCGAGGGCCCGCCACCATCACGCGGAGAGACCATGAAGGGAACATACATGAAGGTAATAGACTAAGTATGATCGGGGTACTTGGCGGTGGTCCATCTTAAAAGCTACACGTTCAATGTTCATGTTCTTATTTCTTCAGAAATGGAGAAGCAAATCCAGATGAGGAATGCGGAGCAGCAGCAGCTGCAGCAGAGGCACCAGCGGAGGACCCTGCAGGCGTCGCAGAGACACCTGCACCCGGTATATGACAGATCTTAACTTAAGATCACTTTATAAAAGTAATCACGTAGGCCTCCACAGTGAAACTACACGTGCCTTCTAATGATTACTACTAACTGGATTGCAGGACAACGAGACCCTGGCGGGTCTGAGCGCGCTAGGCGCTGGAGTGGGTGGAGGCGTAGGCGCGGGCGAGTTAAGCGCAGGGCGCGAGGCGTCCCGCGAAGCCTCGTTGACGCACAAGCTGGAGACGGCTCTGGGCCCTGTGTGCCCGCTACTGCGCGAGATCATGCTGGACTTTGCGCCCTTCCTGTCCAAGACCCTCGTTGGTAGCCATGGACAGGAGCTACTTATGGAAGGTATGCACGAATGTCAACATCTTATTCTTCAGACGTAATACATTTCTACACTTACTACTATACTTTGAGGAGAATTTCTTTTTTTCTTTCGTTTTCTTGTCTCTAGTAATTGATGTCTGCTAATAACCGCACTAAGAATGGTTAATTATTACTTCTCTAATTAACACTTGTTCCGTATGTGCAGGTTTGCAGACGTTCAAATCGAGCACTTCGGTAGTGGAGCTGGTGATGCTGCTGTGCTCTCAGGAGTGGCAGAACTCGCTGCAGAAGCACGCCGGCCTTGCCTTCATCGAGCTTATCAACGAGGGCCGTCTGCTTTCGCACGCCATGAGGGATCACATAGTCAGGTAATAACAACTCTTCTTACATTGAAAAAGGCTGATTAAGTAGATAAATATTGAGATTAATGTATTTTCAGGGTGGCGAATGAAGCTGAATTCATACTGAACAGGATGAGGGCTGATGATGTCCTGAAACATGCCGACTTTGAGGTAATCCTTTGTGTTTTAATACACATCCAATATTCAGGAGATTGAAATATGACTTGAACTGTATGGTCCTTCGATTCTGTCTAGTATAACATGTGTTATGTTGCAGTGCGTGTGCGCTAGTACTAGTAGTGAGAGGTTGGAGGAGGAGCGCACGTGCGAGCGGCTGATAGCGGCCGCGCGCCGCCGCGACCACGCCTCCGCCGCACGCTTGCTAGACAAGCTGCGACATGCTGCACACGCCGCACACGACAGGTACGTGTGTGACGTCACTACACAATAACACCAACATTACACTACAAAGTTCAACATTAAATATGTGCGAAACAGTTCTGAAAATGAACTTGTAATGTCATCGACAAAATTATGAGATGAGTTGTACTTTACGCCCTGTATCCGCTGCACAAATCTAATACAGACTGTTAAGAAACTTGACTAATACTCAAAACTCAGAACTCAGAAACTACTCAGCTTGGGCTGATTACTCAGAACATATTTAACCGGATAAGTTTGAAGGAATCCTGCTTAAGTAATGCAATGTGATTAGTATCTCGGTTGCTGAGGAGGGCACAAGCGAAGGCTTCTGGAAGCTTGACTCGTGGGAGGATGACGCGCGGCGCCGGCGTCGACTGGTGCCCGACCCGCGTGGTCGCCGGCGCGCCGCTCTACCTGCGCCTTCGCATGCCCCTCCAACGCCCCCCACACCGCCTAGTGACGCCATACTGCAGGTAATACTTATCATATAGTAAGTGTGATACAATACCATATGCGGTGTCATGTAGTACTTATGATTTTGACCTAATGACATCAAATGACATTTCGTATGAACGGGTAGGAAATTTACGTCCCTGACTGTCCGATAGTACCAGATAAACAGAGAGCGGAATAGACCGCTAGAATTTTGCATAAAAAATCACGTGCTCTCTCACAAAGTAGTATCCTCATGTTTTCTGTTTCCCTGGTACTTTGAAACTTTCGCAATAACTACTGTACTGTTTTGTAGATGTTACTAAAGTCTACTGTTTATTTTATTGCTATCCCTTTAATTCTCCTTGAATGAAAAAGGATAATAATAACATTCGTACTGTACGTATGTGACAGGCGACAGAGGAACTGCACGCGCGCATCGCGCAGGCTGCGGGCGGCGCGCAGCTGCCGGCGCCAGCAGCTGACCTGCTGGACGACGCTGACGCACTGTTGGACGAACGCGACGCTGAACAGGAACTTACCGGTTAGTTATATCTTAAACTCTTTTTCCACTAGCACGACCAGGCGACAAGTCGCATGCGATAGAGTACTGTAATTTTTTTGTTGTGTCATACACCTTTTCTATCTTTATGATTAGCATATTTTAGTCGTGTAATAAATAATAAGCATCTGTCTAATCTTATTAATATTATAAATGCGAAAGTTTAGATGGATGGATGGATGTTTAATAAAGTTTGTAGCCTAAATTGCTGAACTGATCTCGATGAAACTTGGTATAGATGTAGAGGATAGTCTGGAAGAACACATAAGCTACTAGCTTTTATTTTTTTTAATTCTACGCGGACGGAGTCGCTAGCGAATGCTAGTACAATAATATTTCTTAACGTCTAGTAGATGACATCTTTTTATTTTTAAATATAACATTTATTTAATCGTAACAGAAATGTGGTCATAAAATTAAATAAAAGCATTAAAATAGTATAGTTTGTATAAATTTTTTGAGGACGTTTGTGTGCGACCTGCGCCCTCTGGCGGCGTTAACATGTCAACTCTAAATAACTCAGATATATGTAAGAAGAAAGTCAAAAGTTTTATTGCTTGTTATGCAAACTATAATATCCTAACCAAGTAACATACTAAGTAAATGATTATTATTTTACTTCGTGTAAACTTTTTTTACTCTTAAAAAACATTAAAACGCCAATTCTTTGATCGATTGATAGTCTGATTTTACACTTTTTTTTTAATATTTCGTAAAATTATTTGTTTTATCTTTTGTCACTGTGACCTCTAAATGACCTCTCCAGGTCCTGTGAACATCAGCACGAAGGCGCGGCTGGTGGCCCCGGGGCTGGTGGCACCTGGCACCGTCTCCCTCACCTCCACTGAATTATACTTCGAAGTTGACGAGGAGGATCCTGAATTTAAGAAAATCGACCCTGAGGTATGTAGATTATTTTATTACTTAGATTATTTAGAAATATATTTATTTTCCCCCTTTGAACTTGTAAATTAATGTTAATTTAAAAAAATATATAGTAAAGTGGATAATTTAAAATTAGTGATAGCGCCATCTAACGACAATAAAGCAACAATATCCAATTGGAAGAATGGGAAACAGGAATCGTTCCTATTCAATGTTAATTTAATATTTTAATTTAGCGTAAGTTTAATGGATCATTAAATGTGTATTCCTTATCAGTTTATAATGTCGCCGATAAATTATAACATGTCCGGTCCATTCCATACGACCACTTGAAAACCAACATTTTAACACTCGAATAATAAACTTTTATTACACTAAAATCGTTTCGCGATAAACGCAAGTAAAAACTTAACGTAATTGAGCTATAAAATTGATATTAAAATGATATCAGTAAAGCGTTATGGCTATGGTGACAAGATATTAGTGTATTTTTGGGATAATTTTTTTTATTTATTTAATTTTTCAGACTTATCTTCAACACAATATCCTTCTAAATTGGCACTGAAACTTAAAAAAATATATTTTTGATTATTCTCTGTTTAAGGAAAAAATATTACAAACCATAAAACAGGTATAGTCAATTAAGGCGATTTTTTACATAACAATGTAACTTGAAATATAATAAATAATTAGGTATTTTTTTAAATTGTCCTACATTATGCGAGAAATTTTGTGCACGATTTACCGTTACGAAATCGTCAGATGTTACAACAAGGTCAAATTTTACGACCAATAAAACAACTGCTCGATTTACGAGCGCCGAAAGTCGAGTCCCGGGAAATGTAAGAGAACTGGCCACTGACAAAATATTATCTTTTAGTTGGGTAATAAAATTACATGCAAATACAAACTAGTTGTTTGTTAATGGCTGTTTCAGTTTTCCCAACTAACTTAATAATACAAGAGATTTATTTTTTAACGCAGTTTATTATTACTGATTAAAATAACGCAAGTGTATTTATAAATAGAGACTTCAAAATTAAATGAAAACTGCACAGTACATGAGGCAATTAATTATGACAATTTTAATATTAAACACAGACACAACTAACTCTTTTTATTATATTATAGCTGTTCCCGTGTGTCTTCTGCAATTGTAAAAACTTTATTGTTTACATTTGTTAAATTCTCAATTGCAAATGTCACAATTACCGTTACCATAATCTTGCTTCCCTAATGTTGGTAGTTTGTATTTTATGCTTCCTTTCTCACGTGAAGGTTTTTCAATTTATTTACACTGTAAGTTGAATAACGTGAAAATATATAGCCTAAAGCGTCCTGTACGTGTAGGGCTTTTTATAAAAGAAAGAATTATTCGAAAATGTACTGTGATTGCTGACATCTGACGCCACGAAGTAGTGTGTGTTTACGCTGTATATTAGTATAGAAGTATTGGTTTAGTAAATAAAAATAAAAGGTTTGTTCTTTATAGAATTCAGGTTGTAACTTAATTCATTGAATGTAATTTAATTTGGACAAAGTCCACGGAATATTTCATAACTTTAAACTAAATATATTAAATGTTCGTACAAAAGAAAAGCCAGTTGGTTATCGTACATCATGTGTTGAAATACATGTTGAAATTGAAAATTAATACAAGTCTAGTATTTATGTATGTAAATCAAATTCATATTAATAATTAATTAAAACGAGTGTTCATACAAACAACTGACTTTCTACAAACAAATCTTAACTAGCGACGAATCGTTCAATATTTATAATACCAACATTAATTTCGAAAACATTCGTTTTATAGCGTATTAATGAAATTCTAACGATAAATTTTATATTTTATTACTCTATGAATAAAGATATTTTTTCTTTTATGCCCATTAAAATTTATAAATAATGCATAAAACGAGTCATATGACAAAGGTGATTTCAAATAAGGTGTGACGTTGGAGCTTTGTTTGGTTATTTATTAAGGATCGTGTTTGTACAAGAAGTAGTAAAATGAAAATTATATATCCTCTAATTCGAATACAAATGACACATCCCGAATACACAATTCATTAAAAATCAACCCTAACGTCTATGTAATAAGGATGTAATTTAAATAAATTATTTCGTAGGAATAAGGATGTTTGTTTGGAATTGTTCGTGGGATATCGATGTTGAGTATAGGCGTGTAATATAGGCGGGTAACCGAATATGAGGCACTTTAGCTGAGCGGACAATGCGGCCCCGCGGCGCGAGGGCCCGCGAGGCGCCATGCTAGGGCGGGCCCTTACAGTAATTTGATATCGACTTAAATTTCGAAGAGAATCTAGCGAACAACATTGTTTTTTTTCTTAAGTAGATCTATTACTACTACTTGCATGCATCTTGTTACGCTGTATATTGAGCTACTTCGGGATTCTTCCAAAAGAGAAAGCAAGCAAGAGGTACTTATTTTATTAAATGCTTAAAGTAACTTTTTAATTATGTATATCAACAATTTTGTATTTAATAAATTTTAAATATGTTTGTCTTTTAATTAAGACGTTATGCATGTCGATATCGATAACAATAAATAGTGGTGAGCGTACCTACGAGGTCGTTGTGTGGGGCATCTCCTCAGTCTCGGACAGCGGGACAATGGCGCCCCGCGGCGCGCCCGTGTCGCTGCCCGCGGCGGGCGGCTGACGCGGCGCGGGGGGGGGAGAGGACTGCGCCCGCACATCCTCACGTATTCACTGTTAGGAACTTATCAGAGATTATTCTTATATCGTAAGATTTAATTATTAAGTACTAAAGGAGTTTAAATTATTACGCGGTACTTATAATGTAATTTTAGTAGGCAACTGAAATGTTCTTAAAACAAACGACTACGTAATACACTGACTGCAAGCACATTTATTGTAATACTAGCTGTTCCCATGCGACTTCATGGGCATACAATTATAAAAAAATTATTTCATTGTTTGCATTTGTCAAATTATCAATAGCAAATGTCAAAATGACATGATATGATGTCAAACTATGGCATCCTTGCTTCCTTGACGTTGGCAGCAACTTATAGTCTCTTTCCCACATTAGGGTTCTTATCCAAAATATTTACCCCCTAAGTGTAATAGCGTGAAAATATATAGCCTAAAGCGTGACGTAAGTATAGGGCTTTTCATTAAATAAATTATTATTCAAAAACATGTTGTAATTGCTGATATCTTATGCAACAAACAAGTGTGTGTTTACGCTTTATTATAATAGTATAGATTTGTGTAAAACAAATTATTTCTTCAATGCAGCTAATAATTAATTGTATATCGTTGTAACTATGTAAATAGACCGTGTTAACTAGTGAGAATATGGAAAATAAATAAACTTTGAAGTAATTAATTATCGATGTTTTATATTTAAATTATTCCTTTCAGTTTGCTAAATACCTCATTAATCGTGTAATAGCTAATTAAGAATAGTGGCTCGTAGAAGGAGAGTTAATGTTAGTCAACCAGTTAATGTCTTGTAGTCATTGGAACTTTTATTTAAACAATTATAAAGGAAAACAGAAATATGTAATATGAACGAAGACAGTATATTATTTTTGGTCTTTAATATATTTTGAAGTTATAAGCAGAGGCGATGCTTTTATAATCTTGGACTTGAATAACAATAAAGTTTTTAAAAATCAGATTTTTTCATACACACGTACCGTAATGATTACCAAATGCAAAAAATTATTAAGCTATATAGTTTGACTACCTGTCATACACAACTCTGTCCGCGGGGAAGTAAAAAATATTTAGTATCCTATATTCTTCCAGATGATGTTTTAAACGTCTCAAATCCTTCAAGCTATTCTGGGCATATGTAACAAACAAACTTTCGCTTTTACATTATACTTTACGCTACGCTTATTTGTAACGCTATCCACTCGTACTTTAGACCACAATATCAATAACATATCAGTATCCGAGATATTATTTACTGCGACTAATTCAACCGATTTCAAAGATTGTAAATTGAATTCATAATGGGGCATTTTATTTGTTTATGCTAATGCCCCGTTTTAATTAAGCGTGTCGTGCTGTTCGTGCGAGGGAGAGGACGAGTGAGCGAGACGGTTGTTCAGAATTGTTTCGATATCGATTTATTGACGCGTACATCATTATACTTATGATGAATTGTCCGCTTGTTAGTTTTATATCTCCCCGGGCGCGGTTTTGTTGGTTTTCGTAATTGATATCATGTGGATATTAATATTGGAATTTCTGAGATTGTATTTAACTGTTATAAGTACCGGATATCATTAGAAATCATAGTTTGTTATTTCTGATCTAAATTATATGAAGCTATTTAAATATTTATTACATATTTCTTGTAAATTTTTGAGTTTATTGTCCAAATAATTTATAATCTTACTATCTTGTTGATGTTATAAATGCGTAAGTTTAGATGGATGGATGTTTGCTAGAGTTTGTAGCCTAAACTGCTGAACGGATTTCGATGAAATTTGGCATAGACATAGAGCATCTGGAAGAACACATAAACTACTTATTTAATCCCACCCGGACGGAGTCGGGCGGAAGCTAGTACATATTTATGTTACAGTACAAATATTTTTGCAGACTATCGTTTCGGTGGTTATAATTTAAACTTTAAAATCAATATCCAAGTAAAACAGTCATGTCCATCTTGAATTTAAATGCGTTTTCATAAACTTATTATTTATTTGTATGTACAAACGTTAATTACATTCGCAAGGAGATCGCATTTCTAATATTACTCGGCTCGTTACCCAGTGATTACACCTGGGCAAGGATCTGTTATAGTACAAACTTATTTAGAACTCTATTACGTATGTTTAAGGTTGGAATTGTGTGGAAATTATGTTAGTGACTGAACTATTGGTGTGATAAATTCGTTCGATTAAGTTTATGATTAAAAATATCCTTGTAATTAGAATATTTATTTACTTTTAAGAATCAGTACATATTTCAACGTATCACACGTTTTGTTAATATGGTTGAATTGAAATT